TAGACGACGGGTCTCTAGACAGACTGCGGTAATAGCCTAAAACCACTCCATATAATATGATACGTGTACATCATATATACATGCATATTCGAATTATTATACGTACTACGTATACCTATATTGTCTAATTATTGTGTTCGGATCGAATAAAAAGAAACAATTACACTCGAATGTTATTATAATGAACGTTACGAATCTTAACGTATCATCGCGACTATTGCATTACAGCATACACAATATGTCAGTTTTAATCTACTGCGGGCAATGACGTATTAACATGATAATAATAATAATATTAATAATAATAATAATAGTTATAGTAATAATAATAATATGTAGATCTGTTAATTAAATATTAACATAATATAATATAGGTTGTATGTATAATATGTATAGTGTGTGTAAATGCCTGTGATTCTGGTCGATTGAACAGAATAGAAAATAATATCGTCGTGGTGATGCCGGATTTTAACGAGAGCGACAAAATTAAATGTAAATTAAAACAGTTTTATGTAATAGAAATAGGTTGATGAACGCATAATATAATATAACATTCATAAAAGCTAGCATAAATCAATACATATAGGTATGCATAGAAGATCACGTCGAAGCAATATTTAAGTGCGCAACATTCTTACGCAAAATGAACAAAAATGCATACATGACGTATAAACACACCCAACTCAGTAGGTTGAAATGCCATCGACCTAAGGTGTAACTTTTTATATTTTCTTATTCCAAATGCATAATTGATGAGAGCCCGTTAAAATGCACCTATACTAATAATTATGTAATTATTTATAAAGATGGACAGCTTGGATAAATGTTTAGTAATCTTGAAAATGTATATTACGGCTCCATACGACCATATAGGTACAGAATAATATTATGTATCATTAAATATTCAATCCACTTTTTAAAATATGTTATATAATACGTTCTATTTACAACGAGCAATTATTATTAAGAAATAATAAGCATACCTACCTGTAGCTGCTGCTATACATTTTATATTTTGAATGTGTACACTATATTATTCTTTTTACAGATAATAATTATCATACAATTTTCTTATTATATAGAATTATAATTAATTAATAGCAGAATGTATACCGACTACAGAGTACAGAATGTAACAAAAAACTGACAGATGTAATAACCAACACCATGTAATAAATATTAGGGGGACGGAGTGGCTGAGTGGACTATCCCGGGTTCGATTTCGGCCACGGGCAGCATTCACGGTGTCATTTTTATTTAATTATTATTAGTTATTCTAAACAGTTAGTTATTACTGTTAAACTTTATGTATTACACAGGAAGTTCCACCACTTTTGTCCTTGCAATATACAGGATGTCCCGTGAGGATTTACCTATTAGCCGTAGAGGGGGACTCGCCGCCCGGACAAAAACCGGTTTTTTGCCGTTTTACTTATTAATTAAAAAAAATTATTAAAAATCAGGAAATTAATGAAATTAAAATATTGAAACGTCAATATTTTCAGAAAAATGAACTCTACAAAATGGCAATCATCAATATTTTTTTAAATAATTAATTAAAAAAATAATTTTTTTAACTTTTTTACCAAAACATAAAAAAAAAATAAAAAAATTAGTTATTTGTAGTGCTTACCTCTGTGAGTCTTAATAAGAAAACAGAATTACGATATCTCTATTATTTCAGGAGATATCGCAATGAGTAAATCCTCACGGGACACCCTGTATATGTTTTTTATTTATTTATATATTTGACACAGTTAAATTATATAATTCACGTCATGATACATATTTCTTGGTTTACCTATGTTTGAGATAAAAAATTAAAACAATTGTTTTCAAGTTCCTCGGAAATGTAATAGTCAATTCTTAAAGGTTCTTAAATAATATTTTAAAACTTGAATGACTATTTACCAATTTTAAACTTAAGGCAGAGAAGTAAATTTATAGGTACTTGGCGAGCGTATTTGGAGATGGGTACAAACATGGAAGACAATGTATAAATGCACATTATAAATATTTATATTTCATAATATTACTATAGAATATAAAGAAATATTCTGAAATACGAATTTTGTATCAGATAAACTATATTTACGTTATATTGGGTAATGAAACTAAAAATTTTGTTTAATTATGTATACTTTTGTATTATACTGGTAAGTTGTCCGTGTTCAAGGTATAGGTAAGTTGATTGATTAACAATAAGTTTTTTAATAACTACATTCATGGCTCAATGTATTAATAATTATTGTTTAATTCAAAATAAAATGTATAGTGTTTTTTTTTTAGTGTAGTTAAAAAAGAAAAATTCCTTACACTTTTACAAATGGAATAAATATCAATGTGATATTCATATTAGGTACATGGACAATTTATAAATCAGCTAGTTATGAAGTATAATATAATACTATGAATGGATATTTAACATTAATCTCTCAAAAGCGGTACGACTGTACGAGAAAATTTGTCCAGGCATTTTATACCTATTCCATTCCAACGCTGCCTTACTTAACTCGAACGACAAATGGTTCAAAGGTTCCGGTGTTCAAAGTTTTACTAGCCCATACAAACACAGAGACTTATTTATAAGTTTTATTTTGTTGTTCATATACATTTGTACGGCTGATTTAGTTTTTATTTACAGATATCAGGATATTTACTATGATACATTACTACTTCATGGATTTAGTATAGAATATATTCTCTTGTATATATTTCTCTTATATATTGAAAAGAAAATATGAAATAAATAATTTTTGTGAATATTTTGGTAAAAAAATTAACAATAGGAACATAATATAATGACTCTTTATATAGGTACCTAAATATAATACTTTTACCGTATGTTTTCACCGTGCTTAAAAAACATTATAATATCTCTCCCAACTGGCAAATAGTTTTGTTACACACCACTCCAATGAATAACTAGTGAAATTCGTGTTATATTTACCCGTATGTGCGATACATTTTAATTTTAAATAATTATCGTATGAATTATTTCACATAATAATATAATATTTATATTAAATATACAACATAACCATTGACCAACTTGTTTATAATATCCATACATCATATTGTATTAATTAGCGTGCGTGTTAATCGAGTTAATATTATGTCAAAATTAATAATATCAGTGATGGGTGTTATTACCTATATATCAATTGCATCGCATATATAATAAAATTACAAATTATGCATTCACATTTTGTAATGTATTCAAATGCATATTGTATATTATATATTATCCATTAAACACTACCAGTGTTGTGTACCAATGATCTTAATTTTTCATCATTCAGGCTGATGTTTCCAATAATATAGTTAATATTATAATATTATACCTAGCTATATTATTATTGTCTTATTTTATTACATAATATTATTTATTATTTTCATTTTCTTGTGATTTATACATACACGTCTATTTGAGCAAAAATTTGATTGCTTAAACCAATAATTGGTACATAGGTACTAGTTTTACTGCTGAATTCTGGTTATATACTATCTTCACTAACCACTCAGGTATTAAAGAATTAAACTGTAGATATAGGGATAAAAAGTTAATTAATAGACACATGTTATATCAGTCTGCATCATCTGCATCATCTGCATTGTTTAAAACAAAGTGTCGTTTTTTATCATTGCATAAATAACAAACTATAATGCTATTAAACTTCCATAAAGTAATCGACCTAATAATATATTTGTCAAATTGAGACTTTTGGCATTTAGAGTTAGGGAAATCGTAAAACGAAGAAAATTAAGAGGGTATTTTAAAAATGTAATTGCTCAAATAAACTTACATTACTTTGTAGATGAAAAAATGTTAAAACTTACGATTTAATAAAAAATTAGAAAAATTAAATATTTTTAGTTAATAATATTGTTAATTATCATATTTCATCAACACCTTTAGTAATTAAAATATATTGTTGTATTTAATATTTTAATGTATTATACATAGTATAGGTACCTACCGTATAGTACGTACAATAAAAGCATTAACATTATATTTAATCCATGTGTGTAATAGATTTAGGTTCAAAATGTATTGTTAATTAATCATGATAGGTAGTCCTCCCTATCTCTTATATATTATAGGTAAAATAATACATTTTAAGTTTGGGATCCACACCTATGAACACTATTATATACTTATAATTACCCATTATATACTTTATAATTTAGACGACGAGCGTAAACAATTAATTTCATATAGCTACGAAGACATATATTTATGTAATAACTACCTAATTAATAATTACTAGAGTTGAAAAAATAACAAAAAATTATATTCAAGCATACCGTGTACCTACGAGACATTAATAAAATAATATATTGTACTATTAAAACTTGTTTTCATAAAAATTGTGTTTGATATACAGTTAGGTACTTGAAGAAATAATTTATTATAAAAAACATAATAAATTAAAAATGATTCATAATTTATTTTACCAGCATAATATTTACTAGAATTCTAGTTTTATGATCAGAATGGTTTATCGCATACATTTTAAAAAGGAAACAAAAAATACTTTTATGTTGAGTTCAATACATAATATTAAACTATTGTTATGTATTAATGAAATATTATTAGATATTAATAAATATAAACAAAATGTGGAGAGTAGTTTGTTAAAAAAGTATATATACAAATCTCTACAAATGTTTAAATCAAGATATAAAACATTTTTTGGAATAGTAAAAGTGCTCCAAAAATGTCATATGCCATATCGTTTAATTGGAAAGGTTTTTTTTTAGCGTAAGGGCGGTAACCATCCGTAAAAAAATATATTACATATTATATAACCGGTTCTACATATTATAGTAAAAACATAATGTAATATAAAATGTTCAGCAAATAAGGAGACTGGAAGGGATGAAATCACAATAACCATTCAACATAAATACGGAGAATCTAGAGTGAACAGTATCAGTCGTACACAGCGCAAATACGTATCAGCTCAGTTCAAAACCATCAAATACAAAAATATAAAATGGCCGTCAAGGTATGTGTGTTACACTTCGTTCCAAAACTTTATTTTTACCGATCGAATATAATACATAAAAATACAGTTTTTTTATAATAATATTAATAATTTAATGTTATTGTGTTGTACGAGTCTATACAGTTACGTTTTAATGCTTTCGACTGTTAGTAAAATACTTTTTTATTTTTAGATGATCATTTTCGCCGCCTGCGTGGCCACCGCTCTCACCCAATACGCCGCACCCTCTTACAAGCCAGCGTACTCAGCACCCGCTTACTCAGCACCAAAGGCTTACGCCCCGGAACCCGCCTACGCACCCACACCGTACAACTTCGAGTACAGCGTAAACGACCCACACACCTACGATGTCAAGAGCCAATCAGAGTACAGCGACGGCAACGGTTACGTCAAAGGATCGTACAGCCTTTTGGAAGCCGACGGTTCCACCCGCACCGTTGAATACACAGCCGATGACTACAACGGTTTCAACGCCGAAGTCAAGAACTCCGCCCCTGCCTACAAGCCAGCTTACGCTGCACCCGCTTACTCTGCACCGGCTTACGCTGCACCAGCTTACCCAGCACCCGCATACTCAGCTCCGGCTTACAAGCCAGCGCCGTACAAGGCATACTAATCACTTCCCCCCCCCAACCACATCCATCGACTATCTCATCGTCGATCGTGACGGTCGTTTAGTCGTCCTATGAATATTCATCATCATTGTTCACTGACCAAATATTATGTATAATACTATAATTTCATCGATGTGTTTATTTTGTAAATAAATAGTGAATTAAAAAATACCATATACTGTGCATATATTTTTTTTATTTCATCGAAGGTATCTTTACTGTATTATATTATTTTTGATATAGTACATCTATATATTATTCATGGGTAAACATTCTATTTATTTCAAACCTTATATATTCCGAGTCATCAGTTGGTGATCAGGCTATAAAAGATTCAAAAAAATGTTGCAAAAAGTATTTTAATACCTACATAATATACTTTTGTTGTAAAATACAATTACACAATAAAAGTGAAGACTCCACTGATAAAATTAGTAATAGCAAAGTATTGCTGATTACAGAAATTACTATTTATGTGGGTTGTCTTAACAACAATTCTTCATATTTTATATTAAATTCTGAGAGTGCCCTGATCGTAGTGTTGAAATGATGTGTGTGTTTTTTAGTGTTTTTTAGTGTATGTATATTGTACATGAGTATTAGAAGAGATAATGCTTTGTTTTTCAACTTTCGGGGTGGTTTCTAATAGCAAATTTGATCTATTTGTTACATTTTTACTCAAAAAATGTTTTTGATGTACCTAAGTAATTCAAACATTAATAACCGTATAGAGACTTGACATGTTCAAAAAAAGGCCGAATAAATATTAAGTAGACATAATATAACTTTAAAAACATTTGACACTTGTAGTAATGTTAGGGTCAAAAGCCAAAATCGGGCAAACCTCAGAAATGGCCGGGCAAAACGCGAACTGCCCACAATCCTTGGGCAAAATGTCATATTTCGGCTTTTGACCGGGCAAACCTAGTTATGACCAACCTCATTTGGGCAAAACCGTATGCTGAATTTTATCGTAATGGCAAAACCGTAGTGTCTTATATAGGTTCGCTAATATTAAATACAAATAGTGATTTTTGTCGTACGAATTTATTACGATTATAAATGACCCCACGTATCTTGTTAATTTATCGTTGTTATCGTATTTTATCAACTCGTTACCTATAATATTAAAGGTACACAAAATACACCTTATCTAAATGATACAATATTGTACCGTAGTTACTGTAGTTCGTATTTTTGTGAGCTTATATTAGTACGTCTTTAGCAATGGCTAACGAAATGTTTGTCTGATTTTAAAACTAAATTTGAATTAAAACTTAAAAAAATTACAAAAAGTGAATGCAGTGCTCTAATAAGTGATACAAGATATGATGAACTCATAAAAGAGGTAGAACAAGCGAAGGTCAATTCCAAGAAAACAACGAGCGAATACAGGAGGGCGAATTATTATTTAAGTGTATTCAATTATATCTGTACAATATTTTATGATTATTATTTTTTTGTATGTGGTTATTATAAACTCTACAGTTTGGCTCAAGTGAGGTTTAAATATATTAATTAAGTTTATTCAATTATATTTGTATAAATGTACTATTGACACTACGGTTTTGCCATTACGACAAAAGTCAGTATACGATTTTGCCCAAATGAGGTTGGTCATAACTAGGTTTGCCCGGTCAAAAGCCGAAATAGGACATTTTGCCCAAGGATTGTGGGCAGTTCGTGTTTTGCCCGGGCATTTCTGAGGTTTGCCCGATTTCAGCTTTTGACCGTAACAGTATTATATTTATAGATATTTTATATGTTGGACTTTTTTTCAGCTTTATTCGATTTATGGACGATTCAATTGTTTTAACGATTTATTGTTTGTGTTTAAAAATCTTGAAAATACATGGTTCCTCTTAAAGTCATAAGTTATTATTTCATAAAATAAAAAAATATATCCAAAATACAGTCAAAATAATAATGTTTTATAAGTATTCAAAATTCAATTAATTTTTAAGTGTAATTCATTAAAATCACGATCATTTGCAAACTGTTTTGTAGTTATTAATTCTTGAAATTTTTAATATACACATTACATACCCGCCTAAGGTTTGATAATTTAATACAAGATTCTTCATAAATTATCATTACCAAAAATGTAATCAAAAAGTTCAACATAACTGCATATAATTATGTTTTTAAGGGTCTGAAATTAAAACTTTGAATCATGGATATTCACACATAGAATAATGATTTCTAGTCGGATAGTTATTGAAACTTTTGTCCAAAAAATATTTTTCACCGAAACCTGAAACATTCCACTGTTAAATAAATTAATATTTTCTAAACTGACTGAAATTTTCAAAATATTTAAAATAGATTTAAGCTATTCACGGATATTTCGCATTTTCGATTTTTCAGTTTTTTTTTTTTCTATGTACTTGCTTTTATTTATAAAGTATGCTTGATCAATAAGTTTGAAAAGGTAATTAGGAAAGTTCCTAACAGTAGTTTAAAAATATCAAAAATAAACTGGAACAACTTTTTTATCAGCTTTTGTATTCTGCAAATCGTTCTGTCATTGAGAATATATAATAATATATCTTTTTTATAGTTGAGACTTGAAAATTTAATAGAAAATTCTAGGGAAGTTGTTCTTGTGGAAACCTTAAAATCTCAATAATACTAAAAAAAATTTTTTATATAGACATTTCTATAAAATTTGAGTCGGATATTTAAACAAAAAATATTATTATTGATTATAATTCAAAAACGTGTTAAATTAAGTTACCACTATGCTGTAATAGTTGGTTTGAATTTTACCTCATCATTGAGTAAGTCACTGTAAAGTATTTGAATTCAATAATAAATCGCTGCATAAGAAAAACGACTCTTAGCTAAGACGGCCAGTCATCCTATATTAAACGATGTATATTTTATCATATATTAATATTGCCAAAATAGATAAATATTTTTGCTACTATTAATAATACCGTAATTTGAGTACATTTTTTCCAAAAATATTTCATTTTTTTATTACAAATATTTAATTATTTCAATAGTATTTACCTACCTAAAATATATTTATATCATATATAATTGTTATTAAATGTTGAATCGATACCGAGTTATCGTAGAATGGTAAGAATAAGCCCATGGTATAAATAGGCAATAAGTAGCATAAAATTAACCTAAATGGTATAAAAATTTCAATGTGTATATTATAATATATTATAAAATACGTATAAGTTTCAAGTGTTATTTTACATATTTATATTTAAATATTAAATTTCGTCCAAATTTCAAAGTTTTGGTTTACAGCTTATTAATTAGGATGAACTACCTTATTATGAAAAATCTTGTAAACATTTTCAAGTTTTTTGGTCATCAAGTTTTTTTTATCGCTATATGTATCTATATAGAAAAAAATTGAAAATATCAAATGCATATTATAGGTAAATCGCTCAAAAAGAAAACAAATAATTTGAAAATTATATAATTTATAGAAAATTATGATATTAATATTTGGTGTAAATTTCAAGTATTTACTTAGTTATTCATTTTTGAATTACAACAAAATAAAAAAATTGTTTTTCGAAAATTGGTTTTGCCTAGACATTCAATTTCCCCCTAATTGTTGATGTATTTTTAATAATCATTGAAAAAGTACTGAGCATTTTAATTTTTGACCATCTCATAGTAACAACTTAAGTCATCTTTCTGCCAGAAAATATATTTAAGTTAAAAATCGAAGCACTTTCGCACCTCCAAAAAGTGACGATGAATAGAAAAAAAAATTAAAAACACATGTACAATGTATATCATTGTAAAATCAATACATTAATTATCTCTCTGCTCAGAATCTAAATATTATATTACAGAAAAAAATTAAAATAGTAAAATATTAGTTCTATAGCAATGGTTTATATTTAATAAAATTACAGATAGTATAAGGAAATAACAAACTTTTGGTAAGTTCGATACTCATTATGTATCTGATTTTTATAGAGCAGTAAAAGTATTCCTAAGCTGCCATGTGACAAATTAATAATTAGAAAGGATTATTTAGCTAGTAAAGGGCGGTAACCACATTGGGCTTCAACACTTGAAAACAAAAATAAATAAAAATAATATTGTAGGTACATAACCGGTTCAAATACATTTAACCACATAATATTATGATGGACAAATAGAATTATTTGGAAGGGATGCCTTTTTATCATATAGCAGTCACCATAAATACAGAGAATCAATAGTGAACATCCATCAGTTTCAAATAGCAGAACAAATAACAAGCACACATATCAAAAATAAATACTTAAAATGGCCGTTAAGGTATTTACGTTATTTTAAATAAATTATTAAAAATCGTAGTCCATTTTAAAATCATTTTATTATTTTATTTAAACCTCAATTATTTTATTTCAGATGATCATTTTCGCCGCCTGCGTGGCCACTACACTCGCCCAATACTCTGCCCCAGCCTACAAGCCCGCTTACTCAGCGCCAGCTTACGCAGCACCAGCTTACGCAGCACCAAAGGCTTACGCCCCAGAGCCCGCATACGCCCCAGCCCCATACAACTTCGAATACAGCGTAAACGACCCACACACCTACGATGTCAAGAGCCAATCTGAATACAGCGACGGAAACGGTTATGTCAAGGGATCTTACAGCCTTTTGGAAGCCGACGGTTCCACCCGTACAGTTGAATACACCGCTGACGACTACAACGGTTTCAACGCCGTCGTCAAGAACGAAGGTGGATACAAGGCTCCAGCTTACTCTGCACCAGCCTATTCCGCACCAGCCTACAAGCCAGCATACTCTGCACCAGCATACTCTGCTCCAGCCTACAAGCCAGCATACTAATTTTATTAGTCGTGAATGCTACTTTCCTCAGTCTTATTCAAATTTATTTGTTCAATTTTCAATTATACAGTTTCAAATTGAACCTTGGTTGAAAACTTAAACATGTCACAAAAACTTAAATTATATTTATAATATGTAAAATACTTATGATTAATAAATTTATTGTGTAAATATATGCATACAAATATTATGTATTTATTGTACATCATTGTGTTTTTTTTATTTATTATTCAGTTTTTTCTTGTTGATAATGTTAACACTATACCAATAGCACACAAAGTTACTCAGAAACATAGATTTTGGTTCAAGACCAATGGTCAAATAGATACAAATAAGGGGGGGTTAAGAGCTTAGGACTCTCCCTTTAAAAATGTTAAGGTGATTCAATATTATGATAGTAGCTTTCCCCCCAGAACCAAGTCTCAAACGCTAAATGTGGCACCCATAACTGCCAACTACGGTCACTGTTGTTATAATGCTAGAGTAAATAAAACGTAACTACTAAGTCCCAAACAATGGTGCTTCTGCGGCAATATTTAACCGCCACGCTTACTTTGCTGCCACAGTGACTTACGCATGGTTTCAGTATAAACTATTTAAAACCTTGTATTTTCAAGCATTTAAGCATCAAAATGTATAGAAAAAAACTTGAATAAAAATAAAAAATGTCAAATATCTCAACAAATAGCTCAAACAGAGTCAAAATATTTTATGTAACTATGATATAAACATTTGATGAAAACTACACGGTTTTTCGTTTTTGAATTACAATACAATGTCAAGTATGAAAAATGTAGGTACCTACTAGGAATTTTTTACTTTTGATAAACGTAAAATTTAGATATTCTATCACACTATAAAATAGAATTGAAAATCTAAGTACTGTTAAAGACAATGATGACATACACAAAAAATTTTAAATTTTAAAATAGACGAACATCATTGTAAAAACAATTCCTACATTCATCTCTCAACTTAAGAATATATAATATTATGTATATAGTATTTATTATAATTTTTTTAACATAATTTTTGTTTATATCAGTACTCACATTGAACCATAAAATAAATTTATAAATAATATTAGATACAATAATGTCAAGAATATCAACAGTGTGAAGAGACCTCCCAGTTGGGGTATTTTGCCATGAAATAGTTGTGCATATTTTATTTATTATAAATTATATTACATTACAGTATTGAACGCTCTTAAATTATGATATGGTTATCATTGTATAATAAACCATGTACCTAATAATAGTATCATAATAAAAAAGGTGGCTAGTATGGAAATAAATGAAAAAATAAAGATAAAGTATAAAGTAATATAATAAAGTAAGATAATATTACAAAATCTATTTTAGTTGGAATGGATTTTAAATCGTATAATATAAGTATCGATTTAAATAAAGGCTATATTTTTGAAAAAATATGCCGAGAAACATAATGGAATACAACATTATCATGAACATGTGACTCAATAAAAATCATGCGTTATATTAATATACCTATTTATGATCACTTCAAAGCTTAAAACTTTATCAGTTATTATTAAACTTTAATTAGATTTTAACTGTTTTGATATTTTAATTTATTGTAAATTTCAATTTTCGAAACTTAAGTTAAATTAAATTGTATTAATTTATTTATTTGGAGTCCAGTGACGAAACAAGTGATGGAACAGTTTTTAGAATTCAATAGCAGTTTAGTAACATGTGTGAACACCCACCATTGCATACACCCAAAATAATGTCTTAACAACATGCAAAGAATGGTCTTTCTTTTATTTCCCATACTAAATATAAGCATCGTATAATATGTTAGTTCATATTATGCTTTGTAGCAGCTCGTTCACAAACATTTGTTATGCAATCGTTTTCAATACTGTTTATATATTGTACCTACACACACACACACACATTATTATTGTTTCTCTTTATTTTTTTGCTCCAGACTCAAAAGGTATAACAAAATATTGTCCAGTGTTTATAAAATAATATTAATTTTTTATATTCAATAAATACAATTCTCTATTATTATTTCACAGATATACGAAAATACCTATTATGTTTATGTACGTTATTATGTTTGGTCTGTTTTAAAGTTTTTCTATTTCTTGAGTTGTAAGTTTTGTATTTAAAAGTATTTGTACGTTGTACAAATTTTGTCATAATTACTAATTTAAAACCAGACATAACCGATTACATAGTTACTAAATAATATTAATACCTACAATCGTTATTACAAACTAATATATTGTACTGTATTCATAATTATATCAAATTTCAGTAAATCGGTGCGAGATTGTCAAAGGAATAATATATTTGTGTGGCATAACAGGTAACGTATGTGTGTATGTCTATGATGTAACATAATATAACAGGTTAGAAATAGACATACAGATCATAGCATTTTGATGTAAATACTGCAAACTGGTTGATCTAATCCCTGATGTTCAAATCTTATGAAGACTCGACGTTTTAATTTGTCAAATCAGTAATATCGGCAAATGTATCACAAAAATTAATCAACCATTAACTTGCACAAATTACATATTCAAATCCTGCTCGTGTTTGTATTGCAAAACGTTGTACCTTAGATAGTGAATAGAACACGCAGTTACACTGCGTTGTTTCAATTACACCATAGATTTTATAATAAATTAAGTAGGTAAAATGTTATAATAATTGTAAAATAAATAATTATAAATATTCACACCGACAACTTAAACATTGGTCTGAGTAAACGTATGACGCAAAAGTGTCAGTTCTGATCTATCGATGGTATATGCTAGAGTAAAAGACCGACGAAACCTAAGTAATTCGTAGAATTTACAACTTCAACTGTTGGCTCAACGCCGCGCCGTCATCTTGGAGGAAAACAACCTCTCGTACGCCGCTGCTGCTAAACCAGTGTACGAGCGGCGCGCACCGAACCGAGCTCGTTTTTACACCTACTCGAATCGCTTGATTGATGATCATTGAATTTGTTTATATAAATCACTAATGAATTAAAAAGTGAAAAGGTTGTTCTTGGATCTGATGACCGCTACAGCGACATAATAAAATAATATACCAATCGTAAAGCTTATCTGTGATTCGTAAATACTACCAAACAGTGTATAATGGTGGCATTAAAAATATGATAACCTTTTTTATTTTATTTTTCTAAAACGGCTTATAATTTATACCATAAAATTATAAAATGTGTATGAAATATCAAACGATCGAGTACGTAACACTTTCCGTTCGTTTGAACGATATGATAAAAGGCCTGTTTCACAGTCGTCAATATTATAGACTCGCATTTTAGTTTACATTGTTTGAGATCACATTATTAATACGTGCCACTCCGACGATGGGGCGTATCAATTAATTTATTTTAAACAGATAGTGAATGTGAAAAAATTAATGTTTTTTAACGAACTTGAACCATATTTACACTATTTAAATTAAATGTGTTAAAAAAAATGTATACTGCACGGGCGTCTCCGCCTCAACCGGTTCTTGTTCGACGTGATACAGTAACTGCCCAAGAACTCATTGTTCACCATGTACGCCTGGAAGGGATGCAGCGACAAATTTTTAGCTTAAATACCATGTCTCAGGTCTCTATAATCACCAGTTCATTTCTGTACACAGTCATAGAATACTTTGACCAAACACAAAAAAAATCTAAAATGGCCGCTAAAGTAAGTTAAGATTATTGTATTTGATATTTTAAAACATATTTTGCTTTTTTATATGAAACGATTAACAATTTAAAAACCATTGCAGTGATTACATAAATGTATTTATTTAATGTAATGTTTAAACTTTGTTTCACAGTTCATCATCCTCGCCGCTTGCGTGGCTACCGCACTCGCACAATACTCTGCCCCAGCCTACAAGCCCGCTTACTCAGCGCCCGCTTACTCAGCACCAAAGGCTTACGCCCCAGAACCCGCCTACGCCCCAGCCCCATACAGCTTCGAATACAGCGTCAACGACCCACACACCTACGATGTCAAGAGCCAATCCGAATACGCTGACGGCAACGGTTACGTCAAGGGATCCTACAGCCTTTTGGAAGCTGACGGTTCCACCCGTACCGTTGAATACACCGCTGACGACTACAACGGTTTCAACGCCGTCGTCAAGAACTCTGCCCCATCTGCTGCCTACAAGCCAGCTTACTCCGCACCAGCTTACTCTGCACCAGCCTACGCTGCACCAGCATACTCTGCACCAGCCTACGCTGCACCAGCCTACTCTGCACCAGCCTACAAGCCAGCATACAAACCAGCATACTAATAACTTCTTTTCTCATGTGAACCAACTCTTCTTTTCCTTCTTTTTATTTCATGGCACTGTCATGAAATCTTCATTATTCACCAACTATTTATATCATCGTTGTATTTATTTTGTAAATAAATAGTGAATCAAATTAAAGCAAGCATTTGTTATTTCGTTACAACTATATTATAATATATAGTTTCAAACATATTGTATGCTGATATATATATATATATATATACGTATATATGCATATAATATTCATCCTAAAACCTATATTTTATGAGTCTTAAATTGGGATACGATTAAGTTTATATTGGTACTTGTATTTTTACACATGTCTTAGTGTACATTACTGTAGGTACTGAAACAATGGCCCAACATAATTTGGTGCTCATTATAGTATATGGAACATCTTAATATTTATTTATTGTAGTTTTTATTCTCTAGTTCAAATATAATTAAGTTGAAAAGTGCTTAAATATGAATTTTAGTATTTATAAATTATGCTTATTGGACAAGTTTAGTAGCAATTCAAATATTTTACTAGTATAACTGTTTGGTCTATATTAATATTATATAGGTAGTGTTATATATAGATATATTAGTATAGGTGCTAACTATTTAGAAGTTGTGTTCATACATTTCTTAAATGTACTATTAAATAATTAAGTATTTATCAAAGTTTACTTTTTATGCACCACGCTTACGTTAATTAAAAATAACCTATTAATCGATTATCATGACACGTGGATAAACAGATGTTTTCAAATAGTTGCTCCTATTTAATCATCTTGTATTTTTATTATATCACTTATAAAATTATTAGTCTTATACTCTTATTGACTATTAGGTTTTGTCTCTCAAACGTATTTTTTGCTTATTCCTTATAACTTATTGTATTACATAAATCATATCCAGTGAACTGAAATAATTAAAAAAAAAAAATACGCAAGTGTAACCAAAACGTGAGAACGACGTGTTAATGTTGTTATTAATTAATAAATGTAGTAAGGAACTTTAATTTTTTATTGCATTATTAATTTTTATTATTTCCCAACTTCACTTTAGGAAATTATCCATTCTATAATAATTAAAACAAGCGTTGAATAATATATTAGCTTATTCGTGTTCATTGCATATACAAACTATACAAATAAATATAAATACATGAATACAATTTGGTTATAAACTTATAACTAGGGTTTTGATTTGAAAGCTACTTTAAAAAAAAAAAAAAAAAAAACTATGGAAGGATAATAAATTATTCTTCTGTATAATTATATTTCCTTTAATTTCTACTGAAATAAATTATAATTCAGTTTTCTTAATTTTCTGCTTTGCTTTACATTTTTTGATTTTTTTTGTAAGATTTTGCATTTACCACAATAATTCTGTATCTAATACATATTTACGATTGAAATCAATTAGAGCTTGCAAAGATGACGGGTTTTTGATGCGTCATGTTCTAAATAATGTACTAGAAAGTACTACATAATAATATCGTGTCATTATATTGCTGATAGACGTATAGATAGAGCATTTGTCAGCGGTAGTTTATTGAATGTTTATTAAATTGCCTAAACATCCTATAGTACCTACAACTATTAAAATGTGTTATGAAAGATAATATTTTTTTAATTCCTTTATTTTATTTAAATACCATATTTTTAGGTTATAAATTCTTTTTTATTATTAAATTTGTATCCGAATATAAACCCCGGTAATAATAATCTTAGTAATAACTGTTATAACCAAAAACGATGTTAGTTGATATTATGGTAGATTGACGACGATCGAAATTTAATATATAGTCATTTAAAATAAATTATGGGATAAATATAACTAAATTAGCCCTACTGAATTTCTATTGAAACTTATAAGGCACATGTAGTAGAATGATCAAGTATTTACCAAAGTAGGTATATGTAAATCTTAAACTTTAATAAACTATTTGAAACTATTCCAATAAAAATATTACTACTTACATACAAAACCAGTTATTATATGTTTTTAACTCCCTATAATGTAACAAAAAATGTACTAGAACTGCCAAATATGGATTGATAAATAAAAAACATTGTTACTTCTGTTCAACCTGCCGTAATTATGTTTCAAATATATTTTAGTTCCTCAACTCAAACAACTTGAAATTATTTTAAAATTTAAATTGAATATTGATATATTTACACTAAAGCCTCAGAATATTTTTTATTTTTATAATAATGTAACGATGATACTAATTTTATTATTTAAAAGTTAAAATACGTCATGACGTGAAGTATCGTAACAATTACGTCCAACGTCCTAACAACCAATGAGGACTATTTTACTAATGCATTCTCTGGTTGGTTCTTCTTAACTACCATCTTCAATTTGTTTAAATAATTAAAAGACAAAAAGTTACACAAGTATAATACAACTATTAAGTAAATATAATATAAATATATAATAAAGTGTTATTTAGAGATAAAATATATGTTTGTAATTATTATAGGTACGTATTATTTATTTTATTTTATTTTAATTTATTTTATTTTTATTTTTATTTAATTTAATTTATTTATTAAAGAGCGGAGTCCTTTACAACAATTTAATATTTAAATTACAACAATTAATATAATACATAAAATTAATCTATGATCTAGCAATAGAATAAATACAAAATACATCTCATTAGATAGATTAGTAAACTTTCGATGTAATGCTTAAGCAGTTCCGGCCGAGTCGTCGATGCCACAAAAAACATAGATCAGTAAAATATAATAACATTTAATAATGATACCTAGCCTATTAATAAATAATTTCATCAGTATTGATGAGTGGTGCTCATAATTATACATTATACATCACCGCATATTATTAATTAACATAAAAAAAAAGCTGGTAAGTAGATGTGTAGTGAGTGTAAGTGTTACAAATGGACAGTGTTGGGAATTTTCTAGATAAAAATAATTAAATCATCTAATTATCTCATCTAGATAAATGTAATGGTTATCTGTGGTAATTTATCTAGATAAATAATATAATAATAAGAATATTTTTAAATACTGAAATAGCCAATAGCTTACGATAACCGAGTAGTGATTCCAAATTCCAATATTATTATAGTTAAAAAAAGAAATGTTTACTGAAATATTGTCAGTTTTATTTTGTTATTTTATTTTTATTCAAGTTGTATTAAAAATTAAAATTCTATATTATTTTAGATGAGAAATGACGTTAAGGACTTATTAATTATTTAATATTACCTAATTAGTAATTACTAATAAATTACATTATTTATAATATAATTTAAAAACAAATTATCTATTTTTTTATCTAGACATATGTATGTTTATTTTTATGTTTATCTAGATAAAAAAAATGATGTTATACTTTATCTTATCTAGATAAATTTTGAATGAATTATCTGTTATCTTATCCAGATGATTTTTTAGTTATCTTTTCTCAACACTGCAAATGGATCATGTACAATGGATTGTATTTAACTTGAATTCAATGATATAATATCATTGTATGAGAAAAACGATTCTGAGAGGAGACAGTTTATCAGTCTGGATTTTAGATTCTGAGTGAAACGATGAATGATTGATTTTACAATGATGTGTTTATTTTTAATTTTTTAATTTTTAATTTTTTTGTGTGTCTGTCATCACGTTTTAGAACAGTAAAATTGTAAATACAATTTTGAAAATATTTTGACTCTTTTTGAGCTGTTTACGGACATTTTCAGTTTCCAATTTTTTAGTTTTTTATTCTATAAATATCAATAAAGTTTTATCTGTTGCGGGCCAAAAAGTGTAAAAATTTAATACAAGGCTCCTGATATATTGTTACAATATCAGTTGAAAAATATTAAAAATACATATTAGGCACAATTTTTTTTATAAGCATTTAAATATCGAATTTTGACAAAATTTATCAAATTTAAAATTTAAAAATTATTTTGTAGTTAATAATTTATAAAATGATCAACTTTTATATCTAAGGATTGAAAATTTAAAAAAAGATTCCACGTAAGTAGTTAATTCTGTTACCAAAAAATCTAAAAAATACAGAAGCACAGTTTATTTTTATAGTCATTTTAAGTTCAATTTTGAACAAAATTACATAAAAAAAAAACCTAGAATAACTATTTTAGTTATTTTGTTGTGATTGTATAATATTATTCGTGGGTACTTGAAACTTCTAAAGTACACTATTATATATCTATGATAGTATTAGGGTTTGTCGTTAATGTATAACGCGTTATAAGTACCTAATGGATATTGTGATATGATTAATTTGGAATTTATTATAGGTACCTATTTTAGGTAAATTTGTTTTAATACGATAGATAAGTATATAATATGTCTTATACCTAGACTGACATACCGTCTCCGCTCGGAATCGTTTTTCTTATACAATGATATTATATCATTGAATTCAAATTTAATACTTTCCATTATACAGTGACCCACTTGTAACCGCTACTGTACAGCAGAGCACCTTTTTTAAATTTGTATTATTTATTATAGTCTTTAAGTTGAATTAATATTTGAATGTTATAATTTTTTATTCGTTGGTACGGTGATAAACAAATCGTTAGAAATTAAAATTCCATTTTAAGCGGTTTTTCATAATTTGTCGGTCTGTGGCATTAAATAACTATTGAGAAAATCGAAAAATGACTTCTTTAAGGTACCATCTTGATACAATTTTCTAAAAGATAAGGTACTATATGTTGTAATCGAAGCACTCCTTATTCTGGTAGAAATAGTGTATACAGGATATAAAAAATAAATAAATAAAATAAACATCATTGTAAAACCACTAGCTTCCTTGCTCCACTCGGAATCTAAAATATAAATTTATTTATAAATGTTGAGCTTCTACAAAACGAATACCTAAACGCGTGACAATTATAATGGGTGATATGCATGCAGTATACCATTTACCTACCATCATGGTATTTTATTACAATTATTTTTACTTAACTATTAATAACTTAAAATAAAAAATTACTATAAAAATATCTAATGTATCTTATAACTAAGACTAAATGTAATCTATATAGTTACTATACATATGAATTAATCAACCATGCCGAATTTCATCAATGTTTGATTTTTGGAACTTTTTTATACTTAATGTCTAAAGGACTTGCCATAAGAAGTAATCTATAATAATATTAAGTTATTTTTAAAAATCAGAATGTAATTTTTCCTGTCAAATGTAAATTGTTATCAGACGAGTTACTGAAACATGTTGATGTAGGTAATTGAAATTTGAGCTAGTAATTTTTGAGTTTTTAAACTTTGGGTACTAAAAACAATGAGTGCATAAAAATGGATGCATTTGATCTTGATATTTGAAAATTTTAGTTATTAATAGTAATCTATAAACATCTTATATTTAGTAAAAATAAACACTAGATTCAATTTTTGATACCTCTGCAACTATTTTATATTTTTGTAATACTTACGATTGTTTAAGGAATATTAGGTGCCTATTCTTAGTATACCTATACATTTTAATAAACCACTCGTTAAAATTTTGATTTAGGTTCATCGACATTTTCAAAAAAACCAACCGTTTGACAATTTACAGTAAAAATTATAGGTTCTTATTTTAAAAAAAGAAATTTGAATACGAGTTGCTCCTTAAATGGTATTAAAAATCTAAACATTGAATATTTGATTATTAAATATACATTAAAGTTCCAAAAATCATAATTTAATAAAATGTATGCTTAAAGGGGAAAATGGGGATGAGTATTATTGGTGCATCAAAAAGCATAAAAAATATTTCAGATAAAATAGTTTTAGATATGACAAAATATTTTTATCGTAACCCGATATTGATAAATGTAATTTTATCTTATAAATATTATTTTTGATCACGTTTTTTATTTTATACAGTGAATATTATGCTCCAAAGGAAATTATTAATCATAATTAAATTGTTTTATATCAACCATTCACAAATATTGGAGAAGTGGATAGGTAAGTGCCCAAAATGATAAACAATATATTTCAATTTCTTATGAGTAAAACAGTTTTAAGTAATAGTGTATTTAAATATACGTATAAATCTAACGTCATGACGAATAAAACATCTATATACATAATTAAATAATAATTTCATGGAAAGTTTATTATAATATAGAGGTGTACCACGTACGTAGGTTTGCACAATTTTGTTTATTATTTACTTATAATAAATTATAATTATTGTTCAACTGAATTTCCATAACAATATAATATTATATCCGTGGATTATTATATAAGATTGTATAGTATGCAAAATTATAATTTATACATTAAAAACACGTTAACAATAATAAAAAAAAAAATGCTAATATAACAAATGTTACCATAATATTTTGATATGCAAACAAACAAATGAATTATAATTATGGTATAATCCTTCTATATGGGCACCTAAATACTCCACTTTCACTTTGGTGAATAATTATGCAGGGCACAATATTATTGTTAATACTACGCATTATTGAAATATTAAACACGACAGTATTTAAAACCATGTTATGTGGTAATACATCAATATAATATAATACTGTGCATTATCTACCAATAAATTGTCTTTAGTCGTGGCTGAGCCAAAGATGCGGCGGGGCCCCGCAAAGGCAGATATTTGTGGCCATCCCCTCGACGATCGAATATTTTCATAGACGTTATTGTCATATTTTAAATTCCTCGTTGGAATGTATGCGCAACACGAAAACGATATTACCACGGGATATGAATGTTACCGTAATCGTAAATTTATGACCAAACTAATTAAAAAAAATATTGCACTATAATATATTATTATGAAGGTGCTTATACGTGATAATAATATTATATTATTATATGTGTATCAACAAGTTAATTTCATCAATATACAGTCGATTTATATTTACTACAACACGGGCGGATGGTTGCTGTAAGCTACTAGATTTAGTTTTTTTTTAATTATGAGACATATTAATATTGTGTGTCGTATATAATATATTACGATCGTAATTTGTTGCATTATTATTTTTCGGTTCATATAATATTATTATAAATAGCGAGCGCACACATTTCAGCGTGCGTGTAAAATTTCTCCCCCAGGCGGTCATATCGCGCACGTAATAATTAGGGTTAAAAGAAAAACATCATAAGCCGCCTTCGCGCCGACAATGAAGAAAATACTATCACAGTGACAACGACGTATCTAGTGCGTTCGTAATATAATATAATATATAGTAACTCACGTGCACTCGACCTATATATAGATATAAATATTGTATCAAAACCTGTTGTTTGGGAGTGGTTTTTTAATGCGTTGGACCAGTTTACCAGGTGAAGGTTCTCTCGTATACGCGTGTGAGCGTTTGTGTTTGCTCTTGTTTATTATTATTTTTTTTTCTTTACGCCATATTAGTATTTTTGCACACCCACGTACGGTAGCAGCACGCGTTACCGCCTGGAAGGGATTATTTGATAACCCCCTAAACTTTTAGCATAAATACGGTCAGCACGTTCCAAACATCACTCAGTTCATTCCATTAACTTCAGTGTCTAGTATCTAAACAGTACACAAACACACTCACAAAAATGGCCACTAAGGTAAGAAACATACTACCAACAGGACTCGTTACAATTATTCCAAATAATATTTCGATCTTATGTTCGGTTTTAAGATAAAATTTGTTGTACAGTTTCGTATTGCCGATTTAATTAAAAAAACATATTAACACATATTTGTATTTCAATTTTACGTAAACTTAGCTTTCATGCAACACGAATATAATATTTACGACTCAAAGTTAATATGTCATTCAATTTTATTAAAAATAAGACAATTCTCTTTATTTCTAATATAACTTTATTGAATATTCTTATAGATCTTTTTAACCATATCCATACTATAATCTTTAGTTATTAGTAACTAAAGGCTTAAGTACGCATGCTTTTTTATTTATTTTAAAACCATATAGACATTCATTGAATACACAACAGATTGATAATTTTCTTACAAATAATACAACTTTTGATTTTTGTTCTAGTTGATCATCTTCACCGTTTGCGTGGCTTCTGCCTTCGCCCAATACTCTGCCCCAGCCTACAAGCCCGCTTACTCAGCGCCAGCTTACGCAGCACCAGCTTACGCAGCACCAAAGGCTTACGCCCCAGAGCCCGCATACGCCCCAGCCCCATACAACTTCGAATACAGCGTAAACGACCCACACACCTACGATGTCAAGAGCCAATCTGAATACAGCGACGGTAACGGTTACGTCAAGGGATCTTACAGCCTTTTGGAAGCCGACGGTTCCACCCGTACCGTAGAATACACCGCTGACGACTACAACGGTTTCAACGCCGTCGTCAAGAACGAAGGTGGATACAAGGCCCCAGCTTACGCTGCACCAGCTTACTCTGCACCAGCCTACAAGCCAGCATACTCTGCGCCAGCCTACTCCGCACCAGCCTACAAGCCAGCTTACGCTGCCCCAGCCTACTCCGCACCAGCATACGCCGCCCCAGCTTACCCAGCACCCGCATACTCTGCCCCGGCCTACAAGCCAGCATACAAACCAGCATACTAATTATTTCATTAGTCATGTAAACCAACTCTCTTCTTCACCTCTTTTTTTCATGTTTTCTTCGTGTACCTCTGGACCATCGCGTTCATATTGAACCGTGGTTGCAAAGTCATACCATGCCATATTAATATAATATAAGACAATGGGTACGACTTATGTATTTATTGTGTAAATATATATCAATGTGTATTTATTGAATATCACTGTATTTTATTTATTTATTTATCCTTATCGCTATATAGTTTAAATGATCATATCTGAAACCTACACTTCATCCACTAGTAAAATGTTTGAAAAGTGATATTATTATATTACTTTTATTGGATTCATATATTTAGTGTTCAACAAATGAATGCATTATAACTTGAAATTATAAGACATACCTTAGTTTGGCGTATATGATATTTTTATGCTTATATTATGTAAACTTAACTTTTTAATCTACCATGGATAATATTTATACATAATAAAAAAGTGTAAGTACTTACAATAATAGTAAAAAGAGACTTAAATGAAACTCATTATGGTTCATTGAGACATAAAGTGTATTATCAGTACATAATATTTTGTATATATCTTCATCAGATACAAATGTTAAATAAATTACATGTATTAGGTAGCATTTTTCTATACACCTATAGACTAACAGTAGAATATTTTTATACATTTTAATTTAAATAAAATATTTTTAAGAACTTAAATAATATATTATAAAAGTTACAACAGTATAATATAGTAGTCGGAAAGAAATATTTTACACTGAATAGTTCTCGAAAAAAATGAATACTGTTATATAAAGTGAATGTACAATTAGAATATATCCAGGATAGGCTTTTCAATTCAAAACCAATAAAATAAATGAGTGAATGACAATATTCCTAAAATGTTACTTCTGAAACAATCAAGTTCTACACATATTTTGTCCTATAAAAATAATTCTAATATTATATTGTTACTTATAATTAATGTAGACATAATATTATTCAAATCTATTGAAGAATAAAATACAAATTTAAAATATTTGTATTTTAATAGGTACATATATTATATTTTGCAATATAGGTACATAGTGGTAATTTGATGTTTCCACAAAGTATTGTGTTTTTTTCAAATATTACGGATAATAAAAATATTTTAAAAGTTACGCAAGGCCCTAATTGTAATAGTTTAAGAACACATAAACAAAAAAAATAGTATTGTATTTATTATTACTAATTATTCAACACTACATGAACATGAAAATATCAGATTTAAAAAGAAATGGAGTTACTAAAAGGTTATAAAGATGACAGGACACCTGCTATGTCTATAAAGCATACTCTTTGTCCTTTGACTAAATTCATACACAATGTTGATTTTATAGATATTATCCATTAATATCTATTATTATTTTAACTCGCAAACCTGATAACTAGGTAGTTGAAATGTATATTCTACATTTATTTTTCACTTTGTTTTGATATTGCTCTTATTTTTTTAGACATTTTTATTAAATCATTAATTTTAAATACTATTGTATTTTACTAGTTTAAAATTAATAATTATTATTGCATAACAGTATTATTACCTATATGGTATAGATATCTTTGGCCTAAATGGGAAAGTAAGAGTAGTAATACGATTGATCAACACCCAGCCGCCACCTATTGTAGACCGTATATAGTTAACAGGATTAGAATGAAAAAAGTATTTGATACTTAAATTTAAGAAGATATCAGTGCGTTGTTTGTCTTCCACGCGCTGCAGAGGCAAAACGCATTCAAGCAAAATTATTTTTATTGTATTTTTGAGTAATTTTACAGTAATATTATGACAACAATTATAGAGAATAATATTTTCGAGGGTATGGTTTGTCTAAATATTGTCTCAAAAAAACAAAAAATTAATTAAATTAAATTAACCGATTTTTGAAAAAAATGTTTAAGTTGAATATAAAGCCAATTAATAATAAAATATATAACCGATGTGCCAAACCCTTAAAAATGTCATCCTCTATAATTTTTGTTTTAGGTGATTTTACTCGTTATGATTACTCAAAAATTATAAAAAAAATAATTTTATATGAATGCGTTTTGTCTATGTTACACGCGTATGGGTCTGAGAAAGAAAAAAATATTGCACTGTCATCTTCTAAATCAATTTGAGATTTCGTCAGTCACATCGTTAAGTGTCTGTTGAATTTAAGTTGAAATATACTTAAGCTTATAATGTTTTAAAGATTATACGTAATACACAATTTTCGGATCCGCATATCGATTTATTATTCATATTTTATGAACAGATTTTAACCAGTATAAATTCCGTCTCAACTATTTCTATAAGTGATTACACTAATTCACCCACACTAACCTATATAGTAGTATTATATACCTATTATACACATACGCATATTATTATTATTATTATTATTATTACTTAATGACTAACGCGTGTATTATATTATATACATATTATGATTATTTGATATCCATTCATCGTCATCGCATGCGTACGAGCATTAATATTACACAATAGCAAATTATATACGAGCACTACACATTACACTCGTTTGATCACTCTGAGGTCATATTTCTCATATAGAGTCTGTTTGTCTTATGATATTATATTATATCGTTGCGGGTCGGTAGCCGGATCGCTTAGAACTGTTATTTTAAAGAAAATGAAAAAAAAAAACGGTCAAATATGATTGACGCCCAACCGGTATACATAAATGGGGCGTAAACGATATAATAATATAATGTCATTATATTTACATTACCTATCGGTCGTAGTCGATACGATAAACTATATATAATATTATTATATGTTGCGTGTATTACACTAGTGCTGCAGTCACACACAGACGCACGTCTATAACACGTTATTTGTTACACTTTTTCCCCTCTCTATGTGTAGTGCATATTATGTACAATTTAAAAAAAAAATTAATATCATGCGTGTATACCACGCCGGTGAACGGTACGTCCTATGTACAACTGCTGTTCTTAAAATTTAATTAACAGACGTAAAGAAGTATAATATACCGCCCTGAGTGACGATATTACGGGGCGTGAACGGTACCATAAAACAAATGGAGGTGTAACAGTAATCTGTTATAATTCTATGGTTGACAACAATTTATTTTGCGTAAAAAATAGATCAACCTCTAAAATTATAGAGATCGCATGATGAAAAAAAAAAAATAATGGTTTTATGGACGTTATATTATCATATATTATTATAATTTATGAAGCAAAATTGACCATAGCTAACATTTTGACATTTTTGTTTCGTGTAAAATCGTCGTAATTAATTGATATTTGTGACATCGAAAAGTCATTTACATACATAATTACACGATACTACCGCGATAGTATCACAATAAACGAATACGTATTAATACTACTATTGAAAGTTATAAGCTTGTATAAATTTATGTTTAAAAAATATTTTTTACAAATAGGTACCTATATTGTTGATCACGACATTGTATACTTTTTAAGCCAAATTGAAATCTTGAACGAAAAAAGTTTCCAAATGCTGGTATTTTCTTATTTTGGTACATACATTATTTGAAAAATATCCCATTTTCTATATAGAAAAATATAACTCCAAGTCGGAATAAAAAGTTGAAGCATACAAACAATATGTACAAGCACTAGTCATCAATATTACTACCAAGAAAGTAAATTAAAACCATCAATTATTTTAATGCTCTGTGCATTTTTGCATATTATATACTGATTAAATTGTAAGCAGTCTGGGTAAATGTTATTAATTTTTGGGATTAATTTGTGATTTAATTGAATTTACTTACATAACTTTACATGGTATTATATTTACATTCAAATTTGGACTAATTGAACTAAGTACATTTTCATCATATTTTTTTTTTTCATGAATGATAGAAAGAAAAATTATAATGTTTGATGTTATAATATTATTCGATATAATATAATATTTTAATTTTAAATTAGTAATGTCTTATGATCAAAAGGGTCATAAATCATAAAACAACAAATCAAATATTTTTTTTTAATAAGTTTCCATCTGTATTTGAACGTGAAATTTCTGTGTACGATTCAATGTCATTGAAGATTATGCTACCTACGACAGAAAAACACTTTTCATTATTTTATAGCACTAACGTTTATACACGTAAGCTTTCTAATATTATAGAGCTAATGCTCTTAATATATGACTATTTAAATTAATCTTTCTGATAAAGTTTTTTCATTCTATCTATCGCTATGATAGTTGTTATGTGTAGATTTTTTTCTACGAATAAAAACATTATGTAAGTATTAAACTAGTAAATAGACATTATAATAAAAAAATCTCAAAAATCAGATATATAAAGTGCATTGCTGTTATTATGCATGCTGTATGTATTAATATCATTCTATGCACTTTGATAATACCATTTATAAAAATTATAATGGAATTTTAAACGCACCTACAAAAGTAAAGACATAAATAATAATATTTATAAGCTATGGATATAACAATATGTAGACTAAGAAAATGGCTCAATGCATTACAGCATCAAATGTTTTATTATATTCTGTGTTTTTAGATCAGATTACTTAATTTTACCCAGATTTATAAGGAATATAAACGTATGTAATATTATACGTTCCTAACAAAATATTCCTTTATGGTACGACCGGTTCGTGCATACGTGGAGAAATAAAAGTCTGGAGGGACAAATAATATGTGAGCATTAGACATAAATACAGAGATGTTGGAGACACCATTTATCAGTTGACAGTTCTCTTGATAATTGTTCACGTACATTCTTAAGTCTACTAGCACCAACACGTAATACAAACACATTATCATGGCTGTCAAGGTATAGTAAAAACCAAAAACAATTTAGTTTTATAAGTGTTTTAACATATTTTATTACAATCATAATAGAGCCCATCTAGGATTATCATATATTGTATTATTTGCATGTTCGTCGTATGTGCAATATGATCCAGTATTGTGAGATTGTGGTATACTATAGATACAAATAGATTATTAGAACTAAATCACTAATGCTATACCCAATAGGATAGAATAAAATAAATTGGACTTGAAACATTGTACAGAGGAATATTCGACCTTTCCTGACCGATGTTTTCTAACGGACGTTTTTATTTCAGATGATCGTTTTCGCCACATGCTTGTCATCCGCCCTGGCCCAATACGTCGTACCGGCTTACCCAGCGGCGCCCACCGCCTACCACTTGTCACCCTCTTACCACGTGGCACCCGCTTACCAGGTAGCACCCCTTTATGCCTCAGCACCTGCTTACCAAGTGGCACCCGCAAAGGCTTACGTACCGGTGGAACCCACCAACGCGCCGACACCGTACAGCTTCGTGTACAGCGTGAACGACCCGACCACTTACGACGTCAAGAGCCAAGCAGAGTCCAGCGACGGCAACGGTAACGTAAAAGGCTTCTACAGCCTTTTGGAAGCCGACGGTTCCACGCGCACCGTCGAGTACACCGCCGACGACTACAGCGGGTTCAATGCCGTCGTCAAGAAGGAAGGTGGTTACGCTTCCGCCGCTTACAAACCTGCAGCAGCAGCCCCATACAAGCCGTACTGAGAGTGAGAGTGAGAGCCAATCGCTACACGACCTTCGTCCTCGACTAATCCGAGTGCCACGCGCTCGCGTTTCCGGCCGCGTCGCTGCTGACACATATTCAGTCATTATATTATATATTATTTTATATTTTAATAGTTCATCGAATATTATTATATACGTCCTGCAGCTATAATGCTATTATAGTACCTATATCATAAAACTGCTGTCCACATACCTACTCATACGCATGTGGCTATAGGTCATTAGAGCGGTTCGTACACTTTAAGATTATTACTATTAGTTACCTTGTAAATAATTATAAGCTACGATTTATCTAAAACAAATTTGTAGTTGATATTTATTTGTATGTTACTCGTTTATCCACTGCAGTTCGTCGTGATATATATTATTATTATTATTTTTAAACTATTGACAAAATACAGTAATATATTATAACAGAAAATAAAAATATGCCGATTTTGTTATTGCCATAATATATTGTAAGGTGTAATCAAAACCAACTGTCAACATCGATTGGTCAAATGGTAAAATAAGTTTTGTTGGAAAAAAAATATTGTGTTCACAAAATATGCGCTGTACATTCCATACCTTATATCCTGTATATTATATTCCGTTAAGTACCTCATATTTTCTAAAATCAAAAAAAAAACTGTTCTAGTTAAATGTTCTTAAAAAATGTTCAAACCAATACACGACGCCCTTCGAACAGATTTTCTATTGAATTGTACCAATGGTTATTGGTAATGGTATTGGTATTACAGTCATAAGTAACTAAGATTTTCGAAAACAATATAAAATGTATGTCTGATGTCATTAGTCATTAAAATATGACTATAATTGAGTTATTTTAACACATTATTTTAGATTCTGAGTGGAGCGATGGTGTTTATTATTTGTTTTTATATCCTGTATACAAAATATCTACCAGAAAGAGTGCATCAATTTCAACATATAGTACCTTATAGATACCTTAGAAAAACTTTATGGTTTAACCACAGTAAAATATATTTAATTTTACAAAATAGTAGCCAATGTTTTATTTTATGTTGTTGCAATAATGAATCAATAACTAAAATCAAATTTTAATACAAATAACAGACATAAGTACATCAAATTAATATTCGCGTATTTTATAAAAGAATATTAAATACACAAAATTGGATATATAATATGAACAAGCCTATAATTATATTTAGATAGGTATAATAGAATATAAAATGTGTATAAAACATAAATTTAAAACCTAAACGATATGAAACACATTCAAGGAAAATGGAATAAATAATAATAACATCATACCTACTTTCAGAAGGTTTATTAAATTGTATCATATATGATAATTGGTAGTATAATAATGGTTAGATAATTATTTCACTGGGCAAAATAGAACTACATTAGCCAACCGGTCTCCTGTCAATTAATATTTGGTAACGATGAGATATGGAGGGAAAAATTACCTTCGATATTTTTGTATAAATACCCTACAGTCTATAAGCATAGTCACCAGTTACTACTCTTATGTTCATTTGATTAAGTAAAACAATCAAAACAACAAACCAAAAATGGCCGCTAAGGTAAAAAACTTATAAACTGTCTACATGTGTAAATTTAAAATATTAGGTAATATAAAATTTCTTTGTTAAACGTATGTTTGTTATTGTTTTTTTAGATGATCATATTCGCCGCCTGTGTGGCCGCCGCACTCGCCCAATACTCTGCCCCTGCTTACAAGCCAGCGTACTCAGCGCCCGCTTACTCCGCACCTAAGGCATACGCCCCGGAACCCACATACGCCCCGAAACCTTACAGCTTCGAATACAGCGTAAACGACCCACACACCTACGATGTGCACAGCCAATCTGAGCACAGCGACGGATACGGCAACGTCAAAGGAACTTACAGCCTTTTGGAAGCCGACGGTTCCACCCGCGTCGTCGACTACACCGCTGACTCCTACGGTTTCAACGCTGAAGTCAAGAAAATCGAAGGACACGGTTATAGCGCACCCGCCCCAGCCTACAAATCCGCCCCGGCCTACAAGCCCGCTTACTCCGCACCAGCTTACTCTGCACCAGCTTACTCCGCACCAGCTTACTCTGCACCAGCTTACTCTGCACCGGCTTACTCTGCACCAGCTTACTCTGCACCAGCTCACTCTTACGCCGCCCCGGCTTACAAACCAGCCCCATACAAGGCATACTAATTTCCAACCAAACCATTCCGACTGTGTCACAACACCTATCACTGAGCTGAATTCTGTTGACGAGAATTCTGTCTACAGGAAACGGCTTTGATCCTCTCATTGCCCGAACATGTTTAATTTATTCAATTGTTAAATTATTTGTCAAATAAATAATAAACTATTTATTTGATTTATACTACAAATAACTTGTATTTATGTTTTCACCTTCCTATAATACCTAAGACTGTTTTTGAACCATCGTCATCTCGTCATCCTAGACCGGCGACTAGAACTTTAATCATTTTATGAGTTTCAGTTCATCTAAATAAAAAAAATCAAGGTTTTGTATATATAAGGTATTCGAAAAAATTTTAAGTGTGTGTGTGTGTGTGTTATTATACATGACATAAATTAATACTTAAATTAATATTTAAGTTTGATAGGAATTAAAATAATAAAATCGAACTTGACTGAATGTTGTGTGGACTATTGAATAATGTTAACATTAATAGTGGAGCAAAAATAATTTAGAAAAACTATATCTAGGCAAAGAAACATATTATAACGAAATCTAAATATTCGATTTTTTTTTCAATTAATAGACAACTTTAATTCCAATAATATATCACAACGTTTACTGCGATTTGTTATTCTGATAGAATATTCTAATTTCTTACAACATGTACGAAGGATCGATTGAGGCACATTTTTATAATTGTATTTAGTTGATTACATTTTTAAGTTTATATAAAAAAATGTATAATAAATGTGTTACACGTTCCTCTGTCGCCTATGAAATATCACATCAATTATTCACTTGAAAAAATGCATTGTGTTTTATGAATTAAAAATGTTTGTCTGTAGTTTATAGGTAGTTAATTAATACAATGAGTAATGTACCATTTACATTTTTTATGAAAACAAAACATAATATAATATATATTTGTGCTATATTTTGTTATAATTTTGCTTAGGTTGAAATTATAGTAATTGTCAAAAGTCATAATATAATACTAATTTGAAATTTGTTGAGTTAGGTCACGATTGTTCTTATTTTAGTGTATTTTGTGATAGATGACTTTTAGTAATAAAAATCTTAATGCTCAATGCTTAAGTTTATTTATTCACCATTTAACACTATAGTATCCAGTGTTATCGTAACAATAATAACTGAATTAACTCAAATTTGTTAGGTATTATACATAGGTACCAGTACTGATATGTTTTTAGTTAATGAATTGCATGTTATACACAATACTTAATCTGCAATTATTTTATAAAAATGCACTTTAAAATGTATTAAAATAATAACCTAATATCCAACTGGATAGCGTCCCATAATGTCAAGAGCAAAGCAAATAGTTGAGCTCAATAGAAATGGAAAAATGGAACAAAAGATAATAGTAATATAAAAATGTAATATGTAGGTAATCATTGTCATAAAATTAAACTGAACTAAAAAAAATTGTTTTTTCTTAATATTAAATTTAAGTTGTTCATAAATTGAATTAATAAATATTTATCTAGAAAAAATTACTAAATGTATATGTCAGTCAGTACCTATATAAATGAATAGTATCTAAAGTAGTGTACATAATATGATAAAATATTTCATAAATATGATGTTAATAATATAATAGCATATAATAATATTTTTATTATAATATTCTTTAAGCAAAATTATCTATTTAATGTTTATTATAATATATATTTATATTCTTATAACGTTATGTAAATGATATATGCGTGTACTGTATTTTGTTATAATTTGCTTAGGTTCAGTTTATACAAATTGTCAAAAGTCATATAATTCCATATCGAAAGCAATCTGTTGAAAATACGTTATTAAAGTCATGGAATATTTTTGATTTGACATAATAAAACTATTTTGTGTCAGCCCAACTGATAATATTTCTTTGGGTAACTGATTTTAGTATAGAAAAATATTATCCTAGCATTAATATGCACCATATTTGTCGACGCTAAAATATTATTATACTTTTTATAGGTAAAGTTTTTGTTATTGTAATTACATCACATTATACTTGCAACATTATTCAGTATACTATTGTGTTATGTATAATTCAATAAATGCGTTTCATATGTACAAGTTGTTAACAGAAATACGAAAAATGAAATATCTTTTGTCCTATTCTCTTTTAATTTAAAATTGTATAAAATAATTCAAAATATCCAATAATTTTTTTAAATCTTATTTTTAGGCAAATTTTGATGCTAAAGTTGTTTATTTAAGTTATGATATAATTGTATAAACATTTTTTAAAAGATCAATTTATTTACGAATACTTAAATTAATTTGAAAAGTTATAACATTTTTAAAATATTCTTTTGGGGAATTTCTTGACATAATAGTATATTTCTTAAATTATTTATTATCTATATAATTTTCTTAATTTATGTCATAAGTTTAACTAGTATAAAAGAATTATTTTTATTTGTTAAGTCTTTATATTTGTCTGTTACACCCTGTATAGCACTTGAATTCATCTATCTAGTTTATGTTTTGGTACCTTATTGTGATGGAAAATAATGTACAACTTAGCTCCCATGTCGGCCACTACATTAGTAATGTTTTTATATGTGGACGGGCAATGAGCTGTATTATCGTTAGGGGTCATGTGTGCATAAAATATGTCCATGGACGTCTGCTCATTCGAAAAGAATATAAAAACGGATAGTATTATTATGGCTTTTAATAATAGAGTTTTATAAAAACAAATGTTATAGTGATCAAAATATTTATGGTTTGTTTGAACAAAAAAATATTTCTTAAACAATATATTTTTTAATATAATTTATATTAAATATTAAGTTTAGTAACTTTCTACATTTTTTTCATATTCATTACAAATTTTTTTAAATTTTGATTTATTATTACTGTATTCAAATTGTGATGTTCACATTACTATTTATTTGGTTTTTTTGCGTACTTTTAAAAAGAATACATATAGGTATATTTTATTTTTTTGTTACTTTTTTATGTCTTTGTTAGCCTAATATTTATTTGTGTATTCCAGTTGTTTCATTTCGAAATAAGTAGGTATAATAATTTAGATTTTTAAAGTTTCAACCAAAACACCAACATTAAAACCAAGAACATAATGTTATTAATAAAAAAAGTGGCCTACACATCTAATTTAATTGTTTTAAATGTTTACGCCCCTATATTTTTTGTTGTGTTTTAGACCGTAAAATAAAATTTGATTAATTTATTTTTAATCTATTTATTCTGTTCATTACACGATTGTCAAATATATAATACAACTATATAATACAGGTAAAGTACAGCAAAGATAAAATAATATAAATATTTATATCAAATTAATCAGTAGAATTATTTATAAATATATAATTCTTCAATTTCATATTATTATTTAAAATTTATTTTTCACTCAAATAACACAGACGTATATTTATGAATTATCGATTGTAACCACCCATACTTAAGTAGGTAACTGTACCACTCACGTGTTTTCCATTCATTACAAGTTCACTTTTATTACGCAAGTATATTATAATAATTGCGCACCTACATAATAATTTGAAAATGACTAAATAATAAATATCATACTTGCATGTGATGTTATTTTTTATTTATTAATAATTACTAAGTATCAAAATCTGTTTTCATTCAAATATAAAATAAATAAATCTTATGGACATATTCAAAAGAACTTAATCTAGACTTTTAGAATAATAATAAAAGAATATTACTGAGAACTATTTTTGTATAAACTATTGAATGAAATTGTTAACTGTCCTGAGCTCTTTACTCTAAAAATTGGTCTTAGGGCCCTATCAGTAAATGTATAACAATCATAATGTCCAATTTTATACTGCACCAAGTAATCGTAATTTTGTTTGCCTCTGGTCCATCAGTACAATTTTACACTGCAGTTAAGAACATATAATATATAATTTCAATATTTACTCTGATAATAGTTATAAGTTGAAAAAATTTCTACTTGCTTTTAGTTTATTTCTATATGTTATTTTAAACTTAAGTTATATATTAATAATATGTACCTACTGTACAGTCTACAACCACGGGCGATTCTATCAATAAATTAAAATAAATAATAAATATAAGGTGACTCTTTGAATGTTTAACACTAATTATAACTAAGGTTATTATCACTAAAAGTATAAATGATTTTGGAAATATTATTTTTTACATAATTTAACGCCATTACAAAAAAAACATAATAGTGTTCACTATTTTAGAATGATGTATTGCATACAAGATTTATAGAAAAAAGAGAATTTTGTCTCTACTTTTAGGAGGTCAAAATTATAAATTTCCAGTACATTTCATAATAAAAGAAAACAAAAAAAAAAAAAATTAAAAAAAGTTTTTACTCAAAACTAGTTTTTGAATAAATGTATTTCCTAATTTTGTTGTAGTTCAAATACAAATAACCGTAGATACATGAAATATTAACAAACTGTTAATAATATCTTTTTTCAAAATTTATTATATTTTTTTTTAAATTTATTAATTTAAATTTCCCTGATATATTGTCTTCTAAACTTATTGCCAACCAAATTACATATTTTTGATTTTTTTGAGATATTACGGTAATTTGACTTATAGGTAAACAAACAAATAAAAAAGATTTAAGTTAATTTGTTGTCTTTGAAGAACGCTTTTGAGGAGATTTGAATCTTTTACGTGTACCATAATTTTTCATATAAATACACAATGACATTATGAAAACATTTAAACTAATTTTCTAGCATTGCCTATTTATTTTACGAACGCATGAACCTATTCGTATACTTCTACAAAAAGTTGGTATTAATTCAAAAATTAATAACAATAATAGGTACTTATTTGATATAACTAAATATTATTAATATAAATTATAATATTAAGTATTAAGACACCATTTCGTAATAATAATATTTTAATAGTATTATAATAAAGTAATACTAATGTTATAATAATATTATAATACAAAAAATTGTTGTCTGGTTGTCTGGTATATATAGTTAGATTGATTTCAGAAAAAAAAAATTCAACTATCCGTATTAGGTACTGCTAGTAAAATAAATTACTATAATCTAATTATATTCTATGCATATAAAAACTTATGTTTCTTTAATTGTATTTTCTATATTCAAAAACTACTGGTCTGATCTCAATAAAAATTGATACCTATCAATTATTTCACTGTGCAAAACTGAACTACATTACTTAACCGGTCTCCTACCAATTAATATTTGGTAACGATGAAACATGGAGGGAAAAATTACCTTCGATATTTTTGTATAAATACCCTACCGTCGATAAGCATAGTCACCAGTTACTTCTCTTCTGTTCATTTGATTAAGTACAACAATCAAAACAACACACCAAAAATGGCCGCTAAGGTAAAAAACTTATAAACTGTCTACATGTGTAAATTTTAAAATTTTCAAACGATTTCGTGTACGGAATCGTATCGGTAATATAACATTTTTTTGTTAAACGTATGTTTGTTATTGTTTTTTTAGATGATCATATTCACTGCCTGTGTGGCCACCGCACTCGCCCAATACTCTGCCCCTGCTTACAAGCCAGCGTACTCAGCGCCCGCTTACTCCGCACCTAAGGCATACGCCCCGGAACCCACATACGCCCCGAAACCTTACAGCTTCGAATACAGCGTAAACGACCCACACACCTACGATGTGCACAGCCAATCTGAGCACAGCGACGGATACGGCAACGTCAAAGGAACTTACAGCCTTTTGGAAGCCGACGGTTCCACCCGCGTCGTCGACTACACCGCTGACTCCTACGGTTTCAACGCTGAAGTCAAGAAAATCGAAGGACACGGTTACAGCGCACCCGCCCCAGCCTACAAATCCGCCCCGGCCTACAAGCCCGCTTACTCCGCACCAGCTTACTCTGCACCAGCTTACTCCGCACCAGCTTACTCTGCACCAGCTTACTCTGCACCGGCTTACTCTGCACCAGCTTACTCTGCACCAGCTCACTCTTACGCCGCCCCGGCTTACAAACCAGCCCCATACAAGGCATACTAATTTCCAACCAAACCATTCCGACTGTGTCACAACACCTATCACTGAGCTGAATTCTGTAGACGAGAATTCTGTCTACAGGAAACGGCTTTGATCCTCTCATTGCCCGAACATGTTTAATTTATTCAATTGTTAAATTATTTGTCAAATAAATAATAAACTATTTATTTGATTTATACTACAAATAACTTGTATTTATGTTTTCACCTTCCTGTACCTTTAACCAATTTTAAGCTTTCGTCATCTCGGCCCCTAGAACGGGGACTGGAATTTTAATTATTTTATTGGTTTCTGTTCATCGAAATATAAAATAAATTTGTTGTTAAGATCTTTTTGTGTATTGATAATACATTTAGAACAAATATGAATTATGGTATACGAATTCAAAATTTCTTTCTGTTGTTTTTTAAAAGGTAGTTAATTTATACGATGAGTAATATTATATATACTTATTAGTTATTATGATGGAATATAAATAAAAAGCATAAATGCACTGTATTTTGTCAATATTTTTCAGGTTGAAATTATACAAATTGTCAAAAGTCATAAAATAATTCTTTATCGAAAGCAATCTGTTATAAGATGTTATTTATGTCATGAAATACATTTGTTTGACATAATTTATTTGTGTCAGCCCAACTGAAAATTTTTTTTATGCAACTGATTTTTTTTTAGTTCGTATGTATTTTTATTCAATCTGTTCCAAAAATAACAGTTGATGGTTTATAGGTTAAATTAAATAAAAATAAAAATAAAAAGAGAGATTAAACAGACTGTAGAGTACTCCGACATCAAGTACTACGACATGAGTAACAACTGATTTTTAGCATTAAAAAAAATTATCAAAGCTTCATACAATATTTTTGACCCTAAAATATTATAATAAAATTATATTATTTATATAATATTATGGGATTTGTATTTCTAATCATTCATATACTTACATGATCAGTATTGAGTATACTATTATAGTACATACAATCTACATATATTTCAATTAATGTTTTATATAAAAACTTTTATTCATGCAGATATATATTTAGTTTATGTTTTGGTAAGTACCTTATTGTAATGGAAAATAAGTAAATAATTAGTTCCTATGTTAGCTACTGTATTATTAAATGTATTGAATATTCCTAACTGGATATAATATTTTATAGATTAAAAAACTACTGGACTGTTTTCAATAAAGTGTCGTATCATAATAATTATGTTCCTTGAGACTCTAAGGTTGATTATAGCTTTTTTTTAACTCCTTTAGGTTCAGCTCTATACTAGTTGCGTCCCAAAGATAACTATGAAGAAATGTCTAATCCAAATTATTGCAACTCAAATTTTTTTGCTTCATATCCAAGTTGCGGCCCGATGAATATTTGTGATATCTGTCAATTTTAATATGTTATACAATTTTCGTGTCACAGTGTTTTTTATTGAACTCCTCCGAAACGGCTCCACCGATTTTGATAAATTTTCTATGTATATTTGGTAGGTCTGATTATATTAAAAATAAATATGTTTTAGGCTAATTTAAAAGGGGAATTGTTCATACCCAGGAGGTGCTCAAACAGGAATGTTGAAATTTACGATAGAATTGTTTGTTTATTAATGGTTTCTATGGATACAAACAAATAGAAAATATTCAAATTAAAAAAAAAAATAATAATAATAAATAAATAGTATTCTCAAATCCTATAACCCATACCAACCCATATTATTATTTTTTAATTCGAATAGTTTCTATTTGTTTGTGTCATATAAAATGCCAGCAAGACGCCTAGTGCCAATTTTTGTCGTAAAACAAATGCAGATGAGTACATCCACTTGCGTGACGTATTCTATTAAGTCTGGTAAATGTTTATTACGATTTTCTCTATCATACTTGATAATAATATTGTGTAATAACAAATAAAAAATTTGTAATATATACATTATTATTATATAACAAAATAAATATATTTATACATTATACATACTTACATAATATACGAATGTATAACCCGCGGCAACATAGGCCATTGGGTGTGGGGATGGAACTGTGGGGTTTTAGGTTGGGTAGGTTGGTACACTTGTGTGTTGTATTTTGGCAGAATTTGTAATCAGGCATCCATAGGTTTCTGCCATGCCCCGGGACGAGCCTACAAATGCCATAGTTTCGGTGGCAAGTATTACTGTTGCGGAGCCACTGTTGTTCATGCATTAATTCGATATCTCACAGATATCTATATAGTACAGATAGTACAGTATAGTGTAGTATAGAAGTCTGTGCGATATCTACGTGTGTGATAAGATAACATTTAAATAACTACCACGTGAATTTAAATATTATAATCATTATTATTAATACAAGTAAATAATAAAATTGAGTATTGTAATTTTTATATCCTAAATTTAAATTATTATACTTATAACAAAAAATGTAAGAATAATTCTAACATGTCTTATGAAAAAAAAAAAAAATAATAATAATTTATTAAACTTTATCTAATACGTCCTACAAAAATATAATACAACATAAAATTAATATAATTTTAATTCAATATTGTTTGTTACTTTTTTTTACAGTTCATTACCCGAACATAATTCATAATAATGAATAATTCAAATTTATCTTGATTGTAATAAAGATCATTGATATTAAACTATTAAAGATACAATTATATACAACGCGGGAATTCCTATACATGGACAATGTATATAGATAAAGTTTAATAAATTATTATTATTATTATTTTTTTTTTTTTTGTAGGACGTGTTAGAATTTTCATTATTACATTTTTTTTTTTTTTTTTAAGTATAAGTATAATAATTTAGATTTAGGATATAAAAATTACAATACTCAATTTTATTATTTACTTATATTAATAATAATGATTATAATATTTAAATTCACGCGGTAATTATTTGAATGTTATCTTATCACCGACGTAGATATCGAATAAATACATGAACAGTGGCTCCGCAACAGTAATACTTACCACCGGATCTATGGCATTTTTAGGCTCGTTGCCCCGGGTGGGGGATGGCGTCACTTGTTCGCCGGACACTGTGACTTGCCTGAAGAAAAATGCCACCTTCGACCGAGATATTGAACCAGCTTCGGCTGCGTCGCAGCCGACGCCTTAGTCCGCTCGGCTACTCCGTCACAATATTATTACAATTATTTTTATTTTATATATATATGTTATTCTAATTTATAATAAACATAAATAATAATTTGAACATTATTTAGTTTCGGTCAAGCCGTTTCGGAGGAGTTCAATAACAAACACTGTGACACGACATTTTTATATATTAGATATACATATCTACTTGATATGCTGTCACACATTGTCCATGATCCGACGTAGTCGGATTGCCTACCAGGGTGGCTGAATTGTACTTACCTACTACTGCAAGTTACATCCAAAAGGATTTGAACAATCACAATTTTTTAAAGGGTTGTCATATTTTAAGGGCAACGTGCACAGGGTCAGCTAGTACCTATATAATATTATTATTGTTGACTATTCGATATTAGCAGTTATACTATAGGGTATAACATTTTACAATATCGAACAAGTTTTGACCAGTCACATAATATTAGTTAAACATATTTAATACGACAAATGTTTTAAAAAAAATCAAAATAATATTTTTAACCTAAAAATATATCACATACGTTTAAACTAGTGCTATAATATTTATTTAAAAAAAATAATATTTTTAACCTACTTATGGTACTGATATTACAGACAGTCCTAAGTCTGCACAAAAATGGAAAATAAAAGTAAATTTAGAAAGTATAATTAAATATTTCAAAAATTGTTTAATCAATAAAATTCAATAAGTCAAATCATCGGGGTCGCAATTCGAATGTACGTTAAAAAACCAAGGCCCCAATTCGTATGCACCACAAAAAAACTCGGGTTGCAAATTAAAATGAATTTTTTACCGTTGGACGAAACTAGTTAGCCAATGCATGCATTTATTTCTGTCTCACAAAAATTGAAAGATTTTCGTTTATTTAAATCCTTGCTATTGGTTACAAATTATACATCTATTTTAAATAATTAATAGAAATATGGCATGTAAAATGTTTGAAATATATTACAGTAAAAAAAAAATAATTTTAAATCAAATATTTATTAACATATTTACAATAGTTACAACGATTTTCAACCATGATTCTAGACATATTTATTAAGTTATTAAAAATATTCATACCAATCTTAACGATGTTGGTTTTACGTCGGCTTTTATTAAGTATTTAAATATTGTTCAGAATTAGGAAATGGCATATCATAAAATTGAAATTGAATTATGCTTGTATTATATATTTCAACTGATGCATAACAAAGACGGTGCATCCCAAACAGCTCACATCCATTGTTTTTTATCCCCAAACTGTTCTCGTCGAAAAAGGTTTTACCCCAATTTATTGTATTACAATTAAATAAATTTAAAGTAAGTACAAGAATTTTTTTAATCATAATTATTGATAATAAACTAGCTGACTTTACAAAATACATATTATATATTCAAGTACATAGTACGCATTGATGAATATCAAATCGAATACCTATAAAGCTAATACAATATTGAGTTTATTTATTATCCCAATAAATCATACAAGTGCACATTTTCTTTTACAACACAATTAAGTATAACGATCATTATTGATATTCTTGAAATTATAATGAATGGAAATAGTATGCCATAGTTACAGAAAAGTGGGAAATTATAATAACTCACAAATAGCCAAAACATGTCTTATTACTGATTATAATGAAAACAAAATGATAAAGATCAGTTTTATACAATTTTAATTTAGATAGATGAGAAAAAATAATAATGCAGTTGCTATTAAAATATTATTATATCATAATATCATAATATTAATAATTTTGATCTACTTATCAAATGAAAGGTTTGTTAAGTAAAGGGGCGGTAACCACTTCAGCAACGAACACATAAAAGTAAATAAGTACACTATATTATACGACCGGTTTTAGTACATATTTTATAATCAGTAATCACATACCATGTGGAACAATCAAATTTATTGGAAGGGATGAAATAGAAACAAACGTTCAACATAAATACGGAGAATCAATAGTGAACAGCTATCAGTTGAAAGCAACAAGACTTCCAAGCACACACAGAACAGCTAAAAAAAATCAAAATAAAATGGCCGCCAAGGTATTTATATTTTTTTTAATAACATAATTTCATATTATTATGAAAAATAAAACTTGGACTAGTGATACATGTTATTATGCTATACACATGGTTTATGAGTTTTAAAAATATGTTTTTTTATTCGATTTAATTATATTCTAATATCTTATAGATGATCATATTCGCCGCTTGCGTGGCTGCCGCCCTCGCCCAATACTCCGCTCCGGCTTACAAGCCAGCGTACTCTTCACCAGCTTACTCGGCACCAAAGGCTTACGCCCCAGAGCCCGCATACGCACCAACACCATACAACTTCGAATACAGCGTAAACGACCCACACACCTACGACGTACACAGCCAATCCGAATACAGTGACGGAAACGGTTACGTCAAGGGAACCTACAGCCTCGTTGAAGCCGACGGCTCAATCCGCACCGTCGAATACACCGCCGATGACCACAGCGGTTTCAACGCCATCGTCAAGAACGAAGGTGGATACAAGGCCCCATCATACTCCGCACCAGCCTACAAGCCAGCTTACTCAGCACCAGCATACTCTGCACCAGCCTACAAGCCAGCTTACTCAGCACCAGCATACTCTGCCCCGGCCTACAAGCCAGCTTACAAACCAGCATACTAAATTATTTAGTCATGTGAACATCTAATCTTCTTCATCTTTTATTTCATGTTTTCGTCGTGTACCTCTCTGGGCCATTGCGTTCATATTGAACCATGTTTTCAAAGTCATACCATGCAATATTAATATAATATAAGACAATGGGTACGACTTATCTATTTATTGTGTAAATATATATCAATGTGTATTTATTTAATATCACTGTGTTTTGTTTATTATTATTTATCTTTATCGCTATATAGTTTATATGATCATATTTTAAAACTACACTTTATCAACTAGTAAAACGAAGGGATACCTATACAAGACCCCATCTTACTCTGCACCAGCCTACAAGCCAGCATACTAATAATTCCTCTAGCTATGCGCCTTTGGTTATGACAACCATCTCACAGTCATATTTGTAACAATATATTTAGTGCCTATTTACAAATCATATTTATGTCATTGTTGTTTTATTTTGTAAATAAATAGTGAATTAAATAATATCAAACGTTTTTTAATTTGTATACATATCTACAATTATAGATATTCCTACTAGTAGTTATCTCTACCAAGTGTGCTACCTATAATTATTTGAGCTGCACAGTAGTTTAATATTATACATTAATTCTTATCCTAGATTAGTAGGTACTTATCAATGATCAATGAATATACATAATTGACGTGGGCCACGGTGGTATTATCCGTGGAGGTAGTCCGGTCGCAAGTGTAGTGTGATTGAAGTGACAGGCAGTGGTCGGGAGTAGCGCGCTAATTGTAGCGACGTTACAGTAGCACGCTACTTTTGCTGTAGCGATTAACATAGCGTCGCTACAGTATATACAATGTAGAGAAATACTATAGCGCGCTAGAAATTTATGGTTAGAGTAGCGAAAATATTCATTATTTTATCGCTACTTCTAACCTATTTCAGGATAATTAAAATATTATGATGTATATTTATTTATTTAATTAAGATGACAAGATGAGTGTATTTTTGATTTTTTCGGGTTTAGCTCGGACCGGACTAAGATAAGACCGGATAGATAAGACTATGATCATAAGTGCATTATTACAATGTAATATTTTATATTATTGAAAACAGAGCCATAAATAATAATTAATATATTAGTATTTTATCATCACTATTTTTGTTTTCGGCATTCAGCGTTTTCTACTTTTCTGTGTTTCTTTTAAGTTTTAAATATTTTGAATAGTTGAATTAAAAATGACAGAACCTGAAGTCACTACGTCACATTCAACTAGTTAGCAATTTTCAATAAAACGTTTGTTTTGATTTTTGTTACAAAAATACATGAGTTACACTTAATAAACCTGCCTTCCGAAATTACAAGAAAATAGTGGTAGGCATTAACAAATAATGACCAAGTACTCAAGTGAATGTCTAAATAAACAAAAAAAATTTTTAAAAAAATGTAGCGAAAAAGTAGCACGCTACATTTAAACAATAGCGTTAGAAATAGCGCACTACATTTAAAAAAAAGTAGCTTTAGCGATAGCGAGCTACTTTTTTTAGGGAGTAGCAGTAGCGTTAGCGTGCTACAAAAAAACAGTAGCGTCCCGACCACTGGTGACAGGTGACACTAAGAATGAATACACGGTACACAAGTTTAATTTAATAATTAAGAATAAAACTAAGTCACTTTATGGTGGTTAATGGTCTCTGGGCACTCAAGAGGGCCGATGATTAAATTATAACAAACAGTAAATGAATCGACAACGTGGTTGTGGTATTGTACCGAGCAGTGTCTAAGGAGACGACAAGTTGTCAGTGCGACGGTTGAAAAACTAGCTCGAGACCGGTCGCTATGGTGCCTGTTATTTATACTACTGGCTACTGTCACGTACCATGTCATAACAATTATAATACAAAATGTAAGTATAAAAAAAGTATTTACAAAACAATTCAAATTATTATTAGACTCAGTACAATTATGGTGATGTTAAAATAAGATTGACAATAATCGTTTTTAAAACTATAGCATCAACGGCTGTTGTCAGTAAAAATCAAACATATGTTTTAAAATTCAAATTTTAAGGGTAGAATCTGGAGTACAATTTAATCTAGTGGGTATTTTGAGAGTGACCATGTAACAACGGGAATATTTACACAATAATATTTTGTACTTTTGTTTTACCAGTAAAATTAACAGCTTTAATATTTGGAAATATTCACTAAATATTTTCTAGATATAATATAATTTTCAATATAGTTGTTTGGTTATTTTTAACTATTATATACTTTATAGACATTTTACGTTTTTGACTTTTTTCGATTTATAATGGTAGCCAAAAAATATTTCAATATTTAATTTATCAATATTTTGATTATTTATTTAAGTTTATGTTAAAAATAATAATTTTTTTATTCATTATTTATAATGTAGACAATGATTAACTTCTCATGGAGTTCATTAAGTTTTTTTTATGATTTTGATCATATTATGTTTATTATTCCTGTTTTCTTATAAAATGACTTGGAAGACAAATAAACATGTGCCTATAAGTATAATTGTATGGTTATATACAGGACATTTAAATTAATTTTTTGAGTACATTCTATAAGTGTTAAAAATTAGAATTTAGATGTTATAATCAAATATTAAAAATGATTTTGCAAAAACAATTAAATCCAATTTAAATCAAAAAAAAAAAAAAAAATACTAAACATTCGTAAAGTGTCGCATTTAGAAAACGAACGACAAAGTTTGTGCTGAGTATATTTTTACATTGTATATTATAGTAGGTAAGTTTATTTTTAAATATATAAAAATTTGAATTTCATGACTTCAATAAATGTCTTAATTTTAGATACTTATATAAGATTATAATTTATAATCATATTGGTATTATTTTACTGTTAAAAATTGTATTTATCGTAAAATATGCTCTAAAACATCAAATATGCTCAACACAATCCTAAACACACAGGTAAATTGAAGTATTACTAAATATTAAACAACATGCAGTTAAGACATTTTAAATTTGTCATTTTTAAAGTAAATATGTTACAAACGTATATAACTAACTTGGAAACAAACTTAATAAGAAGAAAAAATATGCATAATATTATGTAAAAAAAACTCGAGCACAATCTAGTTATATATATGTTAATGAAATGCCACATTATTAATTATTACATTTCTATTTTGTAGTCTACACTTTGCAATATAAGAACTTATTTTTTAATACTTTTTAAAATAAATAGAATTTGTATCAATAAAATACTACACATAATATGATAATGAAATTATGTTATATTTGTGTGCGTATAAAATTGGTCTGCATAGGATATCATATAATACATATTACAATGTTAAATCTTTTTGAGATACGGATGATAGTCACTACTAGTTTTAAATTTAAAATCATTTAATAGCATCAATATTTTTTATGAGTAAAATATGTAATCTCTACAAAAGATATTGCTTTCAACTTTATTATATAAAATATCGTATACAAAATTGGGTGATTGTTTTAGGTTAAAACACATACGAATTGAGACCCAAGGATATCACGTAATTAAATCAACAACTATTACCTTGCGTTTGCATATTAATATAATATTATTTAATTTATTGTCTAGGAAAGTACAAAACATTACCCGTTTACAAAACAGTAACGTTAAAACGATATACTTTGGCATATTTTTCAACTTCTCGAACAGTTAAGTAAATAAAATATTTTCATTACAGTTACCCATCGTGGATAAGCACAAAAAGTGAATTAAGTCAACATTTTGTAAAAAAATTAATAATAATACAATTAATGTGCTTTTCAGTTTTTGATTCGAAGAATTTATTTTTTTTAATAACTAACCTATGGTTGCGGTAATAGGTATACAATACATTTAAATTAAATTGAATTCATGAATTTACATTTACAATTTAACTACTGGTCTGATCTCAATAAAAATTGATACCTATCAATTATTTCACTGTGCAAAACTGAACTACATTACTTAACCGGTCTCCTACCAATTAATATTTGGTAACGATGAAACATGGAGGGAAAAATTACCTTCGATATTTTTGTATAAATACCCTACCGTCGATAAGCATAGTCACCAGTTACTTCTCTTCTGTTCATTTGATTAAGTACAACAATCAAAACAACACACCAAAAATGGCCGCTAAGGTAAAAAACTTATAAACTGTCTACATGTGTAAATTTTAAAATTTTCAAACGATTTCGTGTACGGAATCGTATCGGTAATATAACATTTTTTTGTTAAACGTATGTTTGTTATTGTTTTTTTAGATGATCATATTCACTGCCTGTGTGGCCACCGCACTCGCCCAATACTCTGCCCCTGCTTACAAGCCAGCGTACTCAGCGCCCGCTTACTCCGCACCTAAGGCATACGCCCCGGAACCCACATACGCCCCGAAACCTTACAGCTTCGAATACAGCGTAAACGACCCACACACCTACGATGTGCACAGCCAATCTGAGCACAGCGACGGATACGGCAACGTCAAAGGAACTTACAGCCTTTTGGAAGCCGACGGTTCCACCCGCGTCGTCGACTACACCGCTGACTCCTACGGTTTCAACGCTGAAGTCAAGAAAATCGAAGGACACGGTTACAGCGCACCTGCCCCAGCCTACAAATCCGCCCCGGCCTACAAGCCCGCTTACTCCGCACCAGCTTACTCTGCACCAGCTTACTCCGCACCAGCTTACTCTGCACCAGCTTACTCTGCACCGGCTTACTCTGCACCAGCTTACTCTGCACCAGCTCACTCTTACGCCGCCCCGGCTTACAAACCAGCCCCATACAAGGCATACTAATTTCCAACCAAACCATTCCGACTGTGTCACAACACCTATCACTGAGCTGAATTCTGTAGACGAGAATTCTGTCTACAGGAAACGGCTTTGATCCTCTCATTGCCCGAACATGTTTAATTTATTCAATTGTTAAATTATTTGTCAAATAAATAATAAACTATTTATTTGATTTATACTACAAATAACTTGTATTTATGTTTTCACCTTCCTATAATACCTAAGACTGTTTTTGAACCATCGTCATCTCGTCATCCTAGACCGGTGACTAGAAGATAGAACTTAAATATTTGTATTGGTTTCAGTTAACCTAAATAAAAAAAAAAATCAAGGTAAGTATTGCTTAAGATCTATTTGTGTATTGATTACACATATTTCTAAGGTATGCATACAAATTAATAGTGTGTTTATTAGTATACACGACATAAATAAATACTTAAATGAATATTTAAGATTGATTGGAATTAAAATAATGGATGTTGAGCTGACTGTTGAATAATGCTAATATTCAATAGTGGATTCATTTAGAAAAACAATACCTAAGTAATAAAGAAACATATTACTTATAAGTTATAACGAAATCTAAATATTCGTTTATTTTTCAGTCAAACAATACGTCACAACGTTTACTTGATTTACATTCCGATAAAATATTCTAATTGTTCACAACATGTACGAAGGATCGATTTAGACATACTCTTATAATTGTATTAAGTTGATTAAATTTTTAAATTTTATATAAAAAAGAAGTGGATAAGTGGATGTCACTCTGTTGTACAGTAGGTTACTAGTGGGTTAGTGTATAATAATGGATTTATAAACTTGAATTCAATGATATAATATGATTGTATAAGATTTTTTGAGAAGAGACGGTTTGTTAGTCTGGATATTTTCTATTGTTTTAATTTATTATAGTCTTTAAATTAAATTGATATTATAATATTATCATTTTTCTTCATTTCGATGGTGATAAACAAAGCGGTAGAAATTAAAGTCCAATTTTTATTGTTTTTTTGTAATTTGTCGGTGGTTTTTCACGTACCATTAGATAATTATTGAGAAAATCAAAAAATTACCTCTTTAAAGTACCATTTTGATCAAATTTTCTAAAATATAAGATACTATATATGTTGAAATCAAAGCGCACGCCTTCTGGTAGAAATTTTGTGTACAGGATAAAAAAAAAAAAACACCATTGTAAAACCACTAGCTTCCTCCCTATGCTCTGAATCTAAAATTTATAAAAAATGTGTTAGATGTTCCATTGTCACTTATGAAATATTCACATAAAATATTCACTTTAAAAAAATGCGTTATGTTATATGAATTCAAAATATCGGTTGTCACTTTCTAATAGGTAGTTAATTAAGAAAATGAGTTATATACTAAATAGATTTTTTATGAAAACAAAATATAATATAATACATATTTGTGCTATATTTTGTTATAATTTGCTTAGGTTGAAATTATACTAATTGTCAAAAGTCATAATATAATACTAATTTAAAATTTGTTGAGTAAGTTCACGATTGTTCTTATTTTAGTGTATTTTGTGAATAGATGACTTTTAGTAATAAAAATCTTAATGCTCAATGCTTAAGTTTATTTATTCACCATTTAACACTATAGTATCCAGTGTTATCGTAACAATAATAACTGAATTAACTCAAATTTGTTAGGTATTATACATATTTACCAGTACTGATATGTTTTTAGTTAATGAATTGCATGTTATACACAATACTTAATCTGCAATTATTTTATAAAAATGCACTTTAAAATGTATTAAAATAATAACCTAATATCCAACTGGATAGCGTCCCATAATGTCAAGAGCAAAGCAAATAGTTGAGCTCAATAAAAATGGAAAAAATGAAACAAAAGATAATAGTAATATAAAAATGTAATTTGTAGGCACTTATTGTCATAAAATTAAACTGAACTAAAAAAATTGTTTTTTTTCTTAATATTAAATTTAAGTTGTTCATAAATTAAATTAATAAATATTATCTAGAAAAAATTACTAAATGTATATGTCAGTCAGTACCTATATAATAGAATAGCACCTAAAATAGTGTACATAATATGATGTTAATAATATAATAGCATATAATACTATTGTTATTATTATATTCTTTAAGCAAAATTATCTATTTAATGTTTATTATAATATATATTTACTTTCTTATAACGTTATATAAATGATATAATACTTGAATTCAAAAATATAGCTTTTTAGTATTTAAGTTGCATAGTGATTTTAAATACGATTTAAGTCAGTTTTACTTTTTACTTTCCCACTTATAATTATTCAGTTATTTTATTTTTGTATTGGAAATGCATATTTAAGTAAAATGTGTGTTTTTATTATTTTTTTCATAAAAGTGTGGGTATTGCGTGTATGTGTTGAACTGAAATGAATTTGAACTCGTTCCGTATAAATCAAATGGATAACAAACATATACACGATATTTTAAATTTGAACACTAATGAACTCATCAATTTAATTAACAAAAGTGCAAAAAAAATGTACAACATGCATGGCATAATAAACAATGATAAAAATAATAATATCATAATCTTTTCATCTTATTAGTCCATGGTGGTTTAGTTAGGTTAGGTTAATTAAATGCAGCTGGACAAAATAAACTCCTACCATGGTAATGTCTGTATTACTTCAATTTTGTGACGCCTGAAATTGGTCGAAAAACCTGCAGTGATTGTAACTATTTTGCGTCTACCGTCTATAAGAAGTTTAACTTCAAAAATATCTTATATTTTTCTAATACATGATCTAATATATCCCTCATAAAATAATAATTTTAAATTTCTTGAAAAATTATGATCATTACCTAACATCCTTAACTTCAACACTGTTTTAGAGTATCTAGGTACTCATACATATCATTAAATTACAAATTTCATAAATGCATTTATTAAAAAATCAAATAGTTGAATTAAAATTGTTTACTTAATTTAATATGTCATACGAATAAATAAAATAAACCTAGCGTAACATATTTTTAAATCTAATATATTACTTTTTTATAACTAATATATTACTACTGACAAAAAAAATGAAAGTAAAAAACACACATCATTGTAAAACCAATACATTCGTCTCTCCGCTCAGAATCTAAAATATAAAAATATAGTTTCTTTTTATAGTTGTTATTTTATGTTCAAATTTGGACAAAATTATATATTTATACGAAAGAGAACGACAACAGATTATCGTAATGTTAATAAACTTAAACAAAAAAATAAATTAATATTCATATTATATTAGGCAATTATATAATTATAACAGTATTCTGGATGAGTGGGTTCGCGTACTTGCGTTCGTTTATGAATGGACTGATAATAAAAAAAAGTATTTTAAATAGAGTGTGAACGTGGACGAAATATAATATGAGAAATATTTTGTATGAACTTGAACCATATTTACACTCTTCGGACACAATCTATATAAAAAAAAAGAAATGAACTTCACGGGCGTTTACGCCCTGACCGGTTCTTGTTAGACGTTCTACAGACTACAACAATATCTGTTGGTGGGATATTATTCACCACATACCTCTGGAAGGGATTCAGTGACAAATTTTTAGCATAAATACCATGTATCTAGTCTCCATAATCACCAGTTCATTTCTGTAGACAGTCATCTAATACATTGACCAAACAACACAAATACATTAAAATGGCCGCTAAGGTAAGTTAAGATTATCGTGGTTTTAAATTTAAAACGAACATTTTTAAATAAAAATTACTTTTAATTTAAAAACCATTAGAGGCAAAAAAAATGTATTGTTCTTAATAATTATGAAACTATATTTTTATTTTACAGTTCATCATCCTCGCCGCTTGCGTGGCTACCGCACTCGCCCAATACTCTGCCCCCGCTTACAAGCCAGCGTACTCAGCGCCCGCTTACTCAGCACCAAAGGCTTACGCCCCGGAGCCCGCATACGCCCCAGCCCCATACAGCTTCGAATACAGCGTAAACGACCCACACACCTACGATGTCAAGAGCCAATCCGAATACGCTGACGGCAACGGTTACGTCAAGGGATCCTACAGCCTTTTGGAAGCCGACGGTTCCACCCGTACCGTTGAATACACCGCTGACGACTACAACGGTTTCAACGCCGTCGTCAAGAACTCTGCCCCATCTGCTGCCTACAAGCCAGCTTACTCTGCACCAGCATACTCTGCACCAGCATACTCTGCACCAGCATACTCTGCACCAGCATACTCTGCACCAGCCTACGCTGCACCAGCTTACTCTGCACCAGCCTACAAGCCAGCTTACAAACCAGCATACTAATTTATTTAGTCATGTAAACCAACTCTCTTCATCATCTTTTTTCATGTTTTCTTCGTGTACCTCTCTGGGCCATCGCGTTCATATTGAACCGTGGTTTCAAAGTCATACCATACCGTTTTAATATATAAGACAATTGGTACGACTCATGTATTTGTTGTGTAAATATATATTACAATGTGTATTTATTGAACGTCTCTGACTTTTATTTAATTTTCACCTTGCAGTCCTTTTTATCACAATCTAACTATTGAAAAATATTTGTTTTCATACTTTGGTAAAGTCTTAAACAAAAAATTAATTTCAAGTTGTTTTATTTATGGACTTTGATGTGTTTTCAGAACTCATGTATGATGTATCATTGTTCAATCTGAGTACTTCAAATAATGATACTCACTTATAAAAGGTTTAATTTTAAAAATGTTACATTGAAATATTTAAGTTGAAATTAAAATAATGTTAACAATTAAATGTAAATAATGGAAGTAACTCTATACTACATTGTGTCGATTAGGCAACCAATTGACGGGCAGTACGCTTCAATAAAGTTGTTTCTCCCTCATTAAAACTATTTCATACAGTAATAATTATAAAAATATTTGTTCATACTATAGATATTCAATATTGATGAGGGCATATGAAAATAAATTGATAGTAACAATATTATACATAATATTATATAACTATTTTTGTTATTAACTTGGTTTAATAAAAATATCAAATATAATACATTTCTGTTATTTGTTTTACCTAATCTAAGAACTCGAAAAAAATTGTCTATAAACTTATGTAGTATGTATATAATAATGTTAAGTGGTATTTTAATACTCAACAATTTTTATTTCTTTTAACAGTAATATAACCTACCTAAAAGTTATAAATAACAGAAATTAATAATTAATCTAAATTTCTAATCGATTTTGGTACTCTCGGTTAATCTTTCATTTGCTAAGTAAAAGTGATAATTTTCAGAAATTGTACACTTAAATTGTCAATGTATCAGAAATATTTATATAAAATATAAATGAGAGATATAAAATAATTATTTATTAAATTTTAAAAGACAGTTCAATATCTATTCCACATTTGCCTATTAGTTAAATGTTTCCAGTATTATAATGGTAGCCTATTTTTCTAGAACTATACAACTGTTTTCTATGAAATAATACTTTTAAAACATTTTATAAAGTAAATACATAAAATAATGTTATCTACATTAAGTTTTTATGGAATAGGTGTCCAGATGAGTCATTATAATTGATGTGTTCATTTTTAAACCAATGATATAAATCATTGTATACAAAAAAGTTATTTAAGCGAAGACGGTCTGTCAGCCTATATGACTAAGAATATTTTATGATGTTATTGATATTATATTAATGAATTTTAATATTCGACATTATAGAAAGACAAATTAATTTTTGACAAAAAAATTACATGTTAAACTGTAATTTTATGTATAAAATATAATAATATAATTTTAAAGTTCAAAGTACAAACAAATAATATTTATAAATTATAAAAAAAATAAATAAAATGGTTATTTTTCGTTAAATATATAATAATTACCAGATTTAAAATTAAAATTTCAATAAAATAAAATATGTTTATATATATTTCAGATTTTTTGGTTACTGTATGAACAACTTCTGAGAGTCCTTGTTTAAATACTCAATCCTTCGCTATACAAATTAAAAATGTTTTACATTTTTAACAAAAAAATAACTGGCAAATAATAGTAATTTTAATAAGTTTTAACATTTGAATTTAAATACTAATAATAAATAAAATACGTACGTATATTTAATATTTTTGAACTACAGTTAAACATACTTTGAGAAACTTTGTATAACATTTTCAAGCAATTTGACAAAACGAAGAATTTTTATCGATATTTATAAACAAAAAAACTATAAAAAAAAAACAAATATTTCTTATTACATATAAATATCAATAAATCAAAACCAGTCCTAACATCTATAAGGTAATAATATGGTGTTTAGAAAATGTTATAAACATTCCGTAAAAATATAAAATATCTAGGTATCGTTAAATTTGAACTTTAAAAACATATATAAAATTAATTCGACTTTCCAGTCTTTTTTTTTTTTTTTAAAGAAAGAAAAACTTAAGGAATGTTCTAGTAAAATTTTGGAGACTAAAATAACTATTTTATAATATACATTAAGAGAGCCCTTAGTTGGTGAGGTTCCGGTATGACAGTTGTGGTAATCGTACAGTGTGATGGTTTTCCCCATTATATTTATCATATTCTTACAATATTTTGGAAAAATCCTTACTTATTGGGCCAAAAAATCATAAAACGAAACTAGAGTCCAAATTTCAAACTCATAGCTTCAGCGATCCGACTAGGCGATATTGAATGACTCAAAACATGACATTCTTTATGTAGAAAATATATAATTATTAGTTATAAGTTATAACTGATTCTGCACAGCTCGGCGTTGCTCATAACAAAAGAAAATAATGTAAGTAATATACCTTGCTTTAAACTCATTTAAATGTCCCCCATATTTTACAAGTTAATTTAAGTAGTTTTGACCAAATATAAAATATAAAATGTAGGTCTAATGTTATATTAAATTATAATAACTATTTTATGTTATGCGACCAATGGCAATAATATACAAACAAAAAAAAATATTTCATTTTCGTGAGCCAACGAATCCATTGCAGGACTGCAAGGTGTTAAAATTAGAAAAAAAAATGCAAGATGTTCAATAAATACACATTGTTATATATATTTACACAATAAATACATGAGTCGTACCAATTGTCTTATATATTAAAACGGTATGGTATGACTTTGAAACCACGGTTCAATATGAACGCGATGGCCCAGAGAGGTACACGAAGAAAACATGAAAAAAAGATGATGAAGAGAGTTGGTTTACATGACTAAATAAATTAGTATGCTGGTTTGTAAGCTGGCTTGTAGGCTGGTGCAGAGTAAGCTGGTGCAGAGTATGCTGGTGCAGAGTATGCTGGTGCAGAGTAAGCTGGCTTGTAGGCAGCAGATGGGGCAGAGTTCTTGACGACGGCGTTGAAACCGTTGTAGTCGTCAGCGGTGTATTCAACGGTACGGGTGGAACCGTCGGCTTCCAAAAGGCTGTAGGATCCCTTGACGTAACCGTTGCCGTCAGCGTATTCGGATTGGCTCTTGACATCGTAGGTGTGTGGGTCGTTTACGCTGTATTCGAAGCTGTATGGGGCTGGGGCGTATGCGGGCTCCGGGGCGTAAGCCTTTGGTGCTGAGTAAGCGGGCGCTGAGTACGCTGGCTTGTAAGCGGGGGCAGAGTATTGGGCGAGTGCGGTAGCCACGCAAGCGGCGAGGATGATGAACTGTAAAAATAAAAAATATAGTTTCATAATTATTAAGAACAATACATTTTTTTGCCTCTAATGGTTTTTAAAATAAAAGTTATTTGGATTTAAAAAAACGATTGTTTTAAATTTAAAACCACGTTAATCTTAATTTACCTTAGCGGCCATTTTAGTGTTGTTTTTTTGTTGTTTGGTCAAAGTAGTAGATGACTGTGTACAGAAATGAACTGATGATCATGGAGACCAGATCCATAGTATTTATGCTAAAACACGTCACAACATCCCTTCCATACGTACATGATGTTATACGTACAATTTCTTACCGACAGTTTGTGTACATTGTCTGTATAATATCATCGAAAAAGAACCGGTTGGGGCGTAGACGCCCGTGAAGTGCATTTCATTTATATTAAATAATTTTGTGCGAATAGTGTAAATGTAGATCAAGTTCATTGTGATATATATACATTATATTTTGAAAATATTATTGTGTACAGCAAATGATAATATAAAAATTTCACTCCTACAAAATTAAGTTTACTTTTCTGTAAACTCGTTTTTTATAAGAAGAAACATTTTTTTACTTCAGATAATCATACATAATCATTGATTTTTTTTTTCTTTGACAGCAAATTATGATTGATTGACAAGTATTGAAAAAAAAATTTAAAAATAAATCAACAAATTTTCATAGCTCCAAAAGATTCTAAATATTTTGAAAATGTTACCATACATGGAAAATGGTCATATAAAAATGTTGTGAAATTTTTAATTTTGTAAAATTATTATTTTACTATAGTTAGGTATATCTATAGACTATAAAACATATTTGAATTAGTGAAAAATTGAGTTTGCATAAAAATTTTTATTTTTTCTTAATTTTTAGATTCTGAGCGTCGTGATCTAGTTGTTTTACAATTGTGTTTATTTATTTTTGTTTTTTATCCTGTATACAAAATTTCTACCAGAAGGAGTGCTTTGATTTCAACATTTAGTACCTTATCATTTAGCAAATTGGATCAAGTTGGTACCTTCAAGAGGTAATTTTCGGTTTTCTCAATAGTTATTTAATGGCATGGGAAGAACTACCTACAAACTACGAAAAACTGCTAAAAATGGGAATTTAATGCTTTGTTTAGCAAATAAAAAATAATTATAGTATAACATTAATTAATAACAATATGAAATATCCAGACTGACAAACTGTCTCCGCTCAGAATCGTTTTTCTTATACAATGATATTACCTACTGTACAGCAGAGCGACATCCACTTACCCATCTTTTTTATTTTGTTTTCCAATGCATTTTAAAAATATTGGGAATTTCTTACTTTTGAACCTGGTCCAAAGTACTATTTTTACTTTCTTACCAGACAAGTTGATGTAAGATTGGATGATTTTTACTGCACTAAAAGTTGATGACAGAAGTAAAGATCACGTATCGTCGTAAAAACAATTATTATATTATTTCGCTCCTCTTAGAATAGGTATATTACAAATATTCGATAGAATTGTAACATTATTATTAATATAACTATTTGGCAACCTCGGTTTTCACTTTCATTATCTTAAATGTATTTATTTATTCTGCTTCCTTCTTCTTTTTGGTCAAAAAGCTGAAAAATCTAAGACAAGGTTCCAAATGATTAGTGATTATAGCTATTTCAAAATATTTAAGATACATTGATAATATTTTTTTTTTTTAAAGCAATTATTATATTTTGACAAAATTACGAAAATTAACAAATAATTTTGCAGTTCACACTATGTGCAAAAAATCACTAATAACTATTTACCCACCTATCATTTCAAATAACCATATCAATATAAAAAAAAGTACTCTAGGCTGATACATACCTTCCCTGTTCAAAATACCATGATAAATCTAAGAATTCAAACATAAGATAATCATTAAAGATTCCCATTCGACACTTATAGTAATTTTTTTTTAGGCATCGTCAGAAAACAAAAAAAAAATGTTTCAATATTCAATGTTGAGTATGGTTTCAAGTTGAAATCGTGAACTGTATAAACTTATAGAATATAGCTGGTATTTTAGTGATCAAAATTAAAACATGTCCAGTACAGGTTACCAATAGACTCATTAAAACAAAACAAAAAAATAATGGATTATAGGTTGCAATGGTTGCATTAACATAAATGTTGAAAATCGATTGTATAGCGTAAGTAAAACAACGATTAAAGTTTCCATATATTTTAAAATATTGTCAAGAAGTACGGTATAGAGTACATTTTTGTAAAATATATGATATTTCAAATAATTCAAGTATGAATACATTCACTTAATTTGAAGAGTAAATTATATTACGTATTTGAGAACTAAGTAAATAAATATTTTTAAAGAAATATATATGTACTTTAATATTATATACTAATATGCAGGCCCTATTTGTATGTGCACCACTAATGTATGAGTGTGTACTGCGATTTTAACATGTGTGCACTACGGTTTACAAAACAAAAATTAAATAATATATCAGCTAATATATTATGAGTATTTCCAGATTCTTTTTACATTTAAATTATATTAAATTATAATTATTTTTATCAATTTTCAAACATTGTTATCTGTTAAAATGTTTTTTGATGATAATAAAAAAAAATATAACGCTAGTAATGCTAAAAGGAAAACATCCTCCAAAACTCCACCTCTTGTATAACACTTCGTGGTCAACCCCCCAAACCCTCCAACCTTGTCGTGTCCAGTTCTGTATATATTATCTTAGTCCGTGGCTATAACCGTAGACCTTAAACTTAAGTATAAGGTCTATGGCTATAACCACGTTTAAACGACGTATTAACCACGTTTTTTAGTATAAAAAAAAACCGCTTGAAAAGTCAGGGATCGGCAAGTAAACTTTCTTGATTTTTAATTTATGGAAATTTATTAACGGATATCTCACCCAAGTGGTATAACAATTTCAATCCGGAAAATATTTATTTTACCAATAATAGGGCCTGCTAATACGTAAAAGTGTTTTACATAATACTTTTTATTTAAATTATAAATAAACATTCCTGAATTTATTTTATCATTTTCATGTTTTAGATTATTAAATTAATTATAAAAAGAGTTTTACTCTATATTATTCAGTACAATTATAAATTACCAACTATCTGTTTTCTAGGTCAAGGAATTTTATATTTAATTCGGGCTTGAATCATACAAAAAATATATATTATTATAAACGTCTATATACGAGTATAATATTATCAGATATATACGCATTACGCATTGATCCAGAAACACACAAAAAAAAAAAATACAATAAAATCATTAAAATAAAATATATTATTAGATAATTATCGATATTCGAGATAATCAGGATGTTAAACCATAAACTGTTATTCAAAGACATACGCGAGAGTACAAACATTTTTTTTTTTGATATGAAGTATTTGAATGTGAACGAAATTTATATATTTAATGAACTTGCTCTACATTTACATTCTTCGAATAAAATTATTTAATATAAATGAAATGCACTTCACGGGCGTCTACGCCCCAACCGGTTCTTTTTCGATGATATTATACAGACAATGTACACAAACTGTCGGTAAGAAATTGTACGTATAACATCATGTACGTATGGAAGGGATGTTGTGACGTGTTTTAGCATAAATACCATGGATCTGGTCTCCATGATCATCAGTTCATTTCTGTACACAGTCATCTACTACTTTGACCAAACAACAAAAAAACAACACTAAAATGGCCGCTAAGGTAAATTAAGATTAACGTGGTTTTAAATTTAAAACAATCGTTTTTTTAAATCCAAATAACTTTTATTTTAAAAACCATTAGAGGCAAAAAAAATGTATTGTTCTTAATAATTATGAAACTATATTTTTTATTTTTACAGTTCATCATCCTCGCCGCTTGCGTGGCTACCGCACTCGCCCAATACTCTGCCCCCGCTTACAAGCCAGCGTACTCAGCGCCCGCTTACTCAGCACCAAAGGCTTACGCCCCGGAGCCCGCATACGCCCCAGCCCCATACAGCTTCGAATACAGCGTAAACGACCCACACACCTACGATGTCAAGAGCCAATCCGAATACGCTGACGGCAACGGTTACGTCAAGGGATCCTACAGCCTTTTGGAAGCCGACGGTTCCACCCGTACCGTTGAATACACCGCTGACGACTACAACGGTTTCAACGCCGTCGTCAAGAACTCTGCCCCATCTGCTGCCTACAAGCCAGCTTACTCTGCACCAGCATACTCTGCACCAGCATACTCTGCACCAGCATACTCTGCACCAGCCTACTCTGCACCAGCTTACTCTGCACCAGCTTACTCTGCACCAGCCTACAAGCCAGCTTACAAACCAGCATACTAATTTATTTAGTCATGTAAACCAACTCTCTTCATCATCTTTTTTTCATGTTTTCTTCGTGTACCTCTCTGGGCCATCGCGTTCATATTGAACCGTGGTTTCAAAGTCATACCATACCGTTTTAATATATAAGACAATTGGTACGACTCATGTATTTATTGTGTAAATATATATAACAATGTGTATTTATTGAACATCTTGCATTTTTTTTTCTAATTTTAACACCTTGCAGTCCTGCAATGGATTCGTTGGCTCACGAAAATGAAATATTTTTTTTTGTTTGTATATTATTGCCATTGGTCGCATAACATAAAATAGTTATTATAATTTAATATAACATTAGACCTACATTTTATATTTTATATTTGGTCAAAACTACTTAAATTAACTTGTAAAATATGGGGGACATTTAAATGAGTTTAAGGCAAGGTATATTACTTACATTATTTTCTTTTGTTATGAGCAACGCCGAGCTATGCAGAATCAGTTATAACTTATAACTAATAATTATATATTTTCTACATAAAGAATGTCATGTTTTGAGTCATTCAATATCGCCTAGTCGGATCGCTGAAGCTATGAGTTTGAAATTTGGACTCTAGTTTCGTTTTATGATTTTTTGGCCCAATAAGTAAGGATTTTTCCAAAGTGTAAAAATGTTTATCTAATTGTAGGATTTACCACCTCAACTGCCGTACTGCAAACCGCAAACTGCAACCCTAACTGAAACCAGTGGCTCTCGTAGTTTATAATATATTATGGTAATTTTAGAAATAATTACTAGAATCAAATTTATTTTGTATACTTGATTGAAGTTTAAATTGAATACACCCATTATAATGACTTTTCTTGTCACCTACTGCACGTAAGAACGTTACCTACTTCGTTATTGGTTACAAATAATAAAATATTTATTATGAGATGATATAATATATTCAAACCTATTTAACTATTCTGTGTGGTAAAAATAACAATAACTGTGTTAAAAATCAGTACACCTTAAATTTAACGGAATTATATAGGGGCATCGGTACACCCACAGTATTTAATTTTTTTAATGTATAATGCCTTGTATAATCATTTAGTAGGAAATAAATATAAATGTAGGCAATTTCAATCATCAATGACTGAACCATACATAACTTTATCATTATTACCAGCCATCAGTTATTCAGCTTATTATCAGTTATTTGAACTGTTATTTAGTTACAACTAACACTTAGGTAGTTAAGTATTCATATTTATGTTTATAATTGTATTGATTTTATGTACGATTAATCGCCAATTATCTAATACCATATTTTGTTATACATTACTTCATTAGTTGTTGCTTAATTTGCCTAAATGCTCAACATAATATAGTAAACTCTTTTCAACTATAAAGTGTAAACAAATTAATTTGATAGAAAATAAAAATTTCTTTCAAACCATATTACGGTTATTGCTTAGTTCAACTATAACACAGTATTTTCGCATAGGTGTATTACCGAAATATATCCTAACACTTTTTTATGGAATTTGTTTTGTATATTCGATGAAAAATAAATCAGTTTAGTCGCAATTTATAAGTATGACCTTATATAACATAACACAATAAAATAAACTATTTGATATTTATCGATTCGTTATTTATTTACAAAATAAATACATTGATGACATATTTGGTTGATGGACATGCAATATGAAGATGTTATGACTGTTTATACGACGATTTAGTCTGGTGACTCAAAGAATGGTTATAAGAAGTTGTTAGTAGGCCTTGTACGGGGCTGGCTTGTAGGTTGGTGCTGAGTATACTGGTGCTGGGTAGGCAGCCTTGTAGGCGGGAGCGCTGTATGGGGCCTTGTATCCTCCTTCGATTTTCTTGACGACGGCGTTGAAACCGCTCTGGTCGTCGGCTGTGTATTCCACGACGCGGGTGGAACCATCGGCTTCCAAAAGGCTGTAGGATCCCTTAATGTTACCATTTCCGTCAGCGTATTCAGATTGGCTCTTGACGTCATAGGTGGTTGGGTCGTTTACGCTGTATTCGAAGCTGTATGGGGCTGGGGCGTATGCGGGCTCTGGGGCATAGGCTCTTGGTGCTGGGTATACTGGCACCGAGAACGCTGGTTTGTAAGCGGGGGCAGAGTATTGGGCGAGAGCAGAAGCCACGCAAACGGTGAAGATGATCAACTGTTTATTAAAATTTTGGAGTAAAAATATTACGTATCATAAAGTATTAAAATTTAAATAAGAACGTAAAGTTTCGTATTGACTTACCTTAGCTGCCATTTTATTGGGTTTTTTTTTTTGGTTGTTTGGTTGAATTATTCGATGACTGTGTACACAAATGAACTGATGTTTATTGAGAATGGAGACTCAGTATTTATGCTAAAAAATTTGTCACAGCATCCCTTCCAATATTACATTTCTCGCACATGCCATTATATGCACATTATGTCGTTGTACAACGGCAAGAACCGGTTAAGATGAAGACGACTGCGTGGTATACTTGTTGGACAATTTTTTTGTGCATCGTATTTGAATATTTTTAGTATATTTCAAGTTTTTTGAAAATTTAATCATCATTGTTCACTTTTACACTTTACAAAAAGGTTGTTTTTTACTACCTACTTGTTTTTGCATTTTAATCACACATTTAATTTCATATTAAAGACTTGTGGAGGATAAAGGATACGATGTATAGGTTATGTAGGTACACACATTTAAAATATATTCATATAATGTTAGGTTATAAAACGAGAAATAATATTAACGAAGACGCGATATTGTATAATTCACCAGTCTCTTGTAAAATGAATATAGTTATGCTGATCTACAATTTTAGTTACTTAAATATAATAAATTTATATGACTTTTGAATTTTATGACTTTTAATAGGGTTATTACTATCAAATATGTGATTCAAATAAATAGATAATAACTATACTGTTAATGGTTTGAATGGTACTGTATTTAATGCACTCCTACTTTATATCTCATTAGATATTTTTCTTGATATTTTGAGCATTGCATATTATGTAATCATATGGTATGACTTCTTTCTTGAATACAGTATAAAACGGTGGTCGTTGTTAGTATATTTGTGAACCTTATGGATTACACGATTAATGATAGGTACTATATTGCTGTCCATAGCAATTAATATATTACCCGATTTTGATTTGCGTCGTGAGTAAACAGTTTTTGTAAGATGTATACTTACTTGCGGGAATCAAAATGAAAATATTAAACGTTTATTAATTAATTTGTCATGTGTTGAACCGCAATATTTGATTCTATTAAAATAGGGTATTTGTTCACAAAATCTCAAATTGTATGGTCATGGTAAAAAACATATTTGTACATCAAATGTCAAAACTATCATCGATTAACCCCCCCCCCCCACCAAATATTGGAAACTTTTTTCTTCATTATAGCTAACACAAAAAAATATTTATGATTGGTAGGTATATTCTTGAAAAAAATTAAATTTATGATTGGTATATTATTAAAATAATTAAATTTATTAGGTATTTTATTTTTTTTAATGCATTACATCATATACCGTTTTGATAGTAAGAAAAATGAAAAAAAAAAATGATAATTGTTTGAATTGTTGATTAACTTTATTTTAAATTTTGGACAATTTAGTTATTTGAAAAATAGTAAATGTGTCAGGGATTAATCTGTCATAATCTATATAATCCCGCCGCTGACTTTAACTTTATAAACCCTTGTGGGACATTATGTTTACTATTAAGTTTGTAACAATAATGCTTATTATATAATATACAATTAGTTTTGATTAAATTGCGTAGGAGTGAAGGACACTACCTTAAGATACAATTTAGGTAAAAACGTTTAAATTATAAGACATTTATGCTTACAATATATTTTATACAAAAACTCTATCACTGTATTTTTGATTTTATTCGTGTACTTATTAATGAATGACCGCTACTATAACGACTCCACAGTATTTTTTAATTTTTACGATTTGTGTATATCATGTTAATTTTTTTTAAACTTTAATTTTAAATAATTCATTACAAATCAGTACTCGTAAGTCATAATTTATTAAATGATTATCGTATATGGTTAATACAGTCTTAAAAGTAAACAACGGACAATATAAAAACAAGTTTGTTGTATTAAATAATTTTCTTATTTAAGATTATTTTGCCTCTGGGAATATAACACTCCTTGTTACACTAATGTTATCAATCAGAATATCTGAAGTCATATTGTTTCAAGAGACCATATATAGTCCAAACTCAATATTTCAATAGTTTTTTTCCCTCACTTTTTATGTAGTTCATTATTAGGTACTTTCGTAACAATCTACTAAAATAGGTATGAAAAGGTTTTTACACGCCTTTAATTTATTGTTAAATGTATAAAATATATTTCATTTACATCAATTAATATATGGTTCTTACACGATATACAATTATAATAAAGTATTAATAAACGATTAAAATTAACAATGTAATTGTCGACAACTTTTTTTGTAATTTGATTTCTAAAATAACTTAATTTTGTTTGAAAATAAAATGGAAATGCCTTTATCCGACAGATAAAGATTTAGTTTAAATAAACAACAACGGCTTTTTAAAATCGTTTAAAACTCTGAACTATTTATATTGATGTATTTAAAACAATGTCCAAACAGTGATTACCTTATAAATAAATGGTTCAAGATCAACGTTATAATAATATATCAGAGTATATCTAACAAACATTCGATTGGTACTTTAAAAAGTAATCATTTAATTTTGTAGATTTACCTATATTAATATTATTTTATTTAAGTGTATTAAACCCGCCTGAATGTAAATTTTAATAATTATAATAATTCACAGTTTTTGAACGCAACAGTTTTATGTAATACATATTATACATTTACACATAAAATACATTTTTTTAAATTATTTGTAGGTACCTTTCACTCGATTTGTAATTTATTTATCCATTTCACAATAAATAATAAATTCAAACATACTGTAAACAGTAGGTAAAACGTTTCCACGTGGATGATTTCTTTTACAGAAACAAATATTTAACTAAATTCAATTATAACCAGTTCACGTCATATACATAGTCTCTGGGGAGTGAAACATAATAACTGCACATAATGGAATGGGTAAAAAGTAACACCGATCTTTTGATTTAAATACTGCGACAACAGGCACGAAATTTATCAGTCACCGTGTTGTATTTGTCGCCGACAGAATAAACACAATATTTTATCACAGTCCAAAACAACATTCATACAAAATGATCGCCAAGGTATGATAATATGTGGTTAAAAAAATATATAACATCAACCTACCCAAAACATTAGTACGTCCGAAAAACGGTTCTTTTTTTTCATTTTCATTTAAATTTTTTACAGGTTATCCTCATCGCCGCTTGTGCGTCCATCGCCGTCGCCCAGTACGCAGCTTACGCCCCGGAACCCAAGTACGCCCCAGCCCCATACACCTTCGAGTACAGCGTAAACGACCCACACACTTACGACGTCAAGAGCCAACACGAATCGAGCGACGGAAACGGTAACGTAAAGGGCTACTACAGCCTTTTGGAAGCTGACGGTTCCACCCGTACCGTCGAGTACACCGCCGACGACCACACCGGTTTCAACGCCGTCGTCAAGAACTCTGCCCCAGCTGCTGGCTACAAACCAGCTTACTCCGCGCCATCATACTCTGCCTACAAACCAGCATACTAATTTTTTTCCTCCAGTCACAATATCGTGTGAACCAATACTACTGTTATACTATCTTTTTCTTCTCGAATAGGTACACCAACTCTCTAGGCTCTCATCGCGTTCGTATTAGTAATGTAAACCGCGGTCGCAAAGTCATACCACACCATATTATGTATATAGGTATCATAGATATAGGAACACGACAACGGGGAAGATCTGTGTGTATTTTAATGTCGCTGTCGTAGAGAAAATCTAAAGGTGCTACAGAGCACCGGTACGGAGCTCCGGCATAAAAAAAAACCACCCCTTATTGATCGATATACCTACCTAATAATAATATATCACTGTATTATAGTGTCGTGTTCTTGTTTTGTATAATATATTGTCTTCTGTTCGTTGAACACAAAAATCCACATGTTCTTATCATTCATTCACCATATTATATTGTTATGTACATAATACTATATTATAGTTGTTAACCAATGTAAACTAACACAATTTTAGTTTTACTTACTTACATGTTTTGAATTATTAATAATAAAACCTATTAATATAATTATATACAATTGCCGTTCTATTTTCATTATTTATTTCCCTTTGTCATTTTTTGGTTAAAAATAGCAATACCAAGATCACAAAAATGTCTACCCGACTTGTTTTCCTAATCTGGAAATACCATATTTTATAATTATTACAAAATATTGATGTGTTTTAAAGCATTCATACAAATAAAAATAAAAATAATTGTCAAACAATCAACTTATAGTCTTCGGCAAATGTTCAACAAAATATAGAACATTAAAAAAGCAAATTAACAATAAAACTAGTTAGAAACGAAAAATTATATCGTTTAAATAAAAATTTCATAATTGTCATTATATACATTCGTTTAGAGATTTCTTTATTTGAATTGTGTAACATTTTTTTTTTTGATATCGATAAAATTAAGTGCCAAAAACATAACTGTAACATAACATACTGTAATTTATTTACAACGTGCTCTCATTACAGATTTAATAATACTAGAAAGATCACCTATTGTTTTGGCTTTAATTTTTTTTTTTTCCGTTTAGAAGACAATTCATTTTTAGATTCCGAGCAGAGCGATAAATGTATTGATTTTACAATGATGTGGGTTTTTTTATTTTTTTATTTATGTCTGTCATCACCTTTTAGTACAGTAATAATACTTAGATTTTCTTCAACAGTATATAGCCTGATAGCAAAGTGAAAGTAATTGGTACTTTGTGGAGTCAAAAGTAAAAAATCTCCATAAGTTGTCAAAAGTGTTGTAGAAAAAAAAATTAAAAAATAACTGGAATTTTACGAAAAAATCGGTTTTTGGCAAAAACAATTTTGGTTATTGGTGCAACTCTAAAACAAATGACCGTTGTAGATACATGAAATTTCTTGACTTGTTTTAAGCTGCTTAAGAACATTTTCAGTTTCCTATATTTTTTTTTATAAGCGGTTAAAGTTAAAATCTCGATAAAATACGAAAATGTGGAAATTATTTTAAGTTAGAAATTCATAAATTTTTTTTTTTAAATCTAAGATTTGAAAATGTACAAAATTCTTTATAAGTTTGTCAAAAAAAAAAAAAATGTCTACAAGAAAGTCAAATGCAATTATTCTGAGCGATTTTCTTATTTTGTTGTAATTAAAAAACAAATAACCTTATAGACACTTGAGTTTTATATCATATTATGTTTATATTAACAATTCCTATATCCCTAGTAGCATTTTGTAATGATAATATTATAATATTATTACAATAATGTTATTCTAATATTATAATCTCGAAAAATATTAGTTTAATGTTATAATAATATTTTTAACAAAAAATTATTACCTTCAACATCTAGTATAATATTATATATTAGATAACATTTTCAAAATATTTTGACAGTTTTGAGCTGTTTATGGGAATTTTCGATTTTCAATTTTTTAGTTTTATTTCCGTAAATGTCATTAAAAATGTATTGTAAGGTTAAAAAGCATGAAAATTTGATTCAAGGACAATGATATATTTTTATAATAGCAGTTTATAAATATTAAAATTCATAGGCATACATTTTTTTATAATCATTTAACGTTCGAATTTTGACAACATTTATAAATTTTTTAATTTTTAAATGATTTTATAGTTTAACATTTGTAAAATGTTCAACTTTTATAGATAAGAATTGAAAAATTAAAACAAGGTTCCGCATAAATAAGTTATTTTGTAATCCAAAACTCTAAAAAATATAAAAAATAGAGTTTTTTATGGTGAATTTATATATTAAATAACCAAGAATAACGAGTTTACTTATTTTCTTGTAATTTTATAATACAAATTCAACTTACCAGCTTCCTTATTAATAATAACTAATAAGTAAAAACAATATAAATATTATATTATACAAAACCGTCATCGCTCAAAATTGTTTTACGTATAAAATGATATTATATCATTAAATTCAAGTTTAATACCATCCATTATACTGTGACACACTTGTAACCTACTGTACAGCAGAGCGACATCCACTTACGCACCTTTTTATAAACATTTTCATAATCAATAAATGTTGACAAATTTGAATTTTAAAATGCTTATAAAAATAATGGTGACTATGGGATTTTAATAATTTTCAAATGTCATTGTGACAATAATACATTAGCAGCTTACTGTATTAAATTTTCAAAATTTTTTACCCAACAAATAAAATTGTATTGACATCATTAGAAATAAAAACTAAATAAATTAAAAACTATTATAATATTAAATATAATTTTTATATTATTTTAATATTATTTTTGTATTGAAAATGCACAGGTAAGTAAAATGTGTGTTTTTTATTATTTTTTTTATAGAAGTGTGCGTATTGCGTGTATGTGTTGAACTGAAATTAATTTGAACACTTTCTGTATAAATCAAATTGATAACAAATATATACACGATATTTTAAATTTGAATACTAATTAAATCATAAATTTAATTAACAAAAGTGCAAAAAAAATTTACAGCATGCATGGCATAATAAACAATGATAAAAATAATAATATTATAATAGGTATTTTCATCTTATTAGTCCATGGTGGTTTAGTTAGGTTAGGTTAATTAAATGCAGCTGGACAAAATAAACTTCTACCATGGCAACGTCTGTATTACTTAAATTTTGTGACGCGCGAAATTTGTCGAAATTTGTTTTAAGGTATCTATTTACTCATACATATCATTAAATTACAAATGTCATAAATGCATTTATTTAAAAATCAAATAGTTGAATTAAAATTGTTTACTTAATTTAAAATGACATACGAATAAATAAAATAAACCTAGGGTAACATATTTTTAAATCTAATATAATACTTTTTTTATAACTAATATATTACAACAGACAAAAAAAAATGAAAGTAAAAAACACACATCATTGTAAAACCAATACATTCGTCACTCCGCTCAGAATCTAAAATATAAAAATATAGTTTCTTTTTATAGTTGTTATTTTATGTTCAAATTTGGACAAAATTATATATTTAATTTAAGAACGACAACAGATTATCGTAATATTATGAAAATTAAACAAAAAAAAATTAATATTTTATTATATTAGGCCATTTTATAATTATCACAGTATTCTAGATGAGTGGGTTCGCATACCTACTTGCGTTCGTTTATGAATGGACGGGTAGTAAAAAAATGTATAGAAATATGTAAATAGAGTGTGAACGTGGACGAAATATAATATGAAAAATAATTTTATGAACTTGAACCATACTTACACTCTTCAGACACAATCTATATAAAAAAAGAAATGTACTTCACGGGCGTTTACGCCCTGACCGGTTCTTGTTCGACGTTCTACAGCAATATCTGTTGGTGGGATATTGTTCACCACATACCTCTGGAAGGGATTCAGTGACAAATTTTTAGCATAAATACCATGTACCTGGTCTCCACAATCATCAGTTCATTTTTGTACACAGTCATCTAATACTTTGACCAAACAACAAAAAAACAACACTAAAATGGCCGCTAAAGTAAGTTCAGATTCTCGTGGTCATAAATTTGAAACGATCATTTTTTAATCCAAATTAACTTTTAATTTAAACACCATTAAAGGCGATTTGCAAAAAAATGTATTATTTTAATTTATAAACTTTGTTTTACAGTTCATCATCCTCGCCGCTTGCGTGGCTACCGCACTCGCCCAATACTCTGCCCCCGCTTACAAGCCAGCGTACTCAGCGCCCGCTTACTCAGCACCAAAGGCTTACGCACCGGAGCCCGCATACGCCCCAGCCCCATACAGCTTCGAATACAGCGTAAACGACCCACACACCTACGATGTCAAGAGCCAATCCGAATACGCTGACGGCAACGGTTACGTCAAGGGATCCTACAGCCTTTTGGAAGCCGACGGTTCCACCCGTACCGTTGAATACACCGCTGACGACTACAACGGTTTCAACGCCGTCGTCAAGAACTCTGCCCCATCTGCTGCCTACAAGCCAGCTTACTCTGCACCAGCATACTCTGCACCAGCATACCCTGCACCAGCTTACTCTGCACCAGCCTACAAGCCAGCTTACAAACCAGCATACTAATTTATTTAGTCCTGTGAACCAACTCTCTTCATCATCTTTTTTCATGTTTTCTTCGTGTACCTCTCTGGGCCATCGCGTTCATATTGAACCGTGGTTTCAAAGTCATACCATACCGTTTTAATATATAAGACAATTGGTACGACTCATGTATTTATTGTGTAAATATATATAACAATGTGTATTTATTGAACATCTCTGACTTTTATTTGATTTTTACCTTTCAGTCCTTTTTCATCACAATCTATTTATAGAAAAATGTTTGTTTTAGTATTTTTATAACAATAACAAAAAAAAAAATCAAGAAGTTTTCTTATGGACTTTGATGTGTTCAGAACTCATGTATCATTGTTCCTATCTGAGTACTTCGTATAATGTAACTCACTTATAAAACGTTTAATTTTATCACATACACATTGAAATATGTAGTTGAAATTAAAATATTTTTAACAAATAAATATAAAGAATGGAAGTAAATCTATACTGTACATATACATAAAAACTATTTCATACAATATTAATTATACAAATATCTGTTCATACTACAGATAGTTAATAATTATGAGGGCATACTATATACAGTGTGATACATAAATAAATATGCTGTTTATTATGTTACATTTATTGGATCTATTGAAAATTGAAATTTATTAATAGTTCCATGTTTGCCGACCCTCCTATAAATCTTCGAAATTTAAAAGATATAAGAACCGGCAACATGCAATCAACTGACTGGAGAACAAATTATTAATAAATTCCAAAAGACCCATTCATTTATGTATCACATAATTATTACCTAAATTATTTCGGGGTGAATATGTTAAGCCTAAACTATTCTAGAATCATTATTTTCAGATTTACAGTAAAAAATCTAAAAATTTCTCGTATTTTGCAGTATTTTTGTTGATTGGCTGTAACTTGGTAAATTTTGGACTTAGGAAGTTTTTAAACCAAAAGGCATTAAAAAATAAGGCAAAAATTAATTAGTGGTTAATATAGGTGGTTGCCACTTAAGAAAAAAAAGGTTGTACTGCGCATGTGCAAGTCTAATTAAGTTAAAAAAAATTCAAAGGCTATAAAAAGGTGTATTTTTGTGTTATAACAACCAACAAGAAAACAGAATTCAAATTGCAGGGCTCTACTCAATGATATTGAGTGTTCTCAATTACACACTGTATAAAAATAAATTGATAGTTACAAAAGTATACATATCCACTGTATATTATAAACATTTTTTTATTACTTACTCTGTTTTAAAAAAAATTTCAAATGTACTACATTTCTACCATTGATGTTAATCTAAGAAATCTAAGAAATTTACATCATATGTTTATTTTATAAATTCCTATACTTGATATTGTCAAAACATGATGACTCGTTCTGAGCTATTAAATTTTTTTAGTTTTTTTTTTTTCTATAAACATCATAAAATGTTATTTGTTATGTCAAAAAGCGTGGAAATGTAGTTAGAGTCGGACTGGGTACTAAGGGCCCCACCGGCAGTTTACTTATAGAGAGGGCCTCAACAGTCAACAATAGTGATAAATAATAACTCTCTTGTAAATTTGATAAATTTTTTTCACAAAAAATGATCATAAATAAACTTTATAATTTACAATTGTTACTCAAAACACCATATTTATCTTTATTTACTGTTTTCTTTAGTTAAATTTATTTACAATTTATTTTACAGTATATTTTAGAGATCGATTATAATAAATTATCAACATTTTTGGTAACTACCTATTTTGATAATTGTTAAAAATGTTATTTATTAATTTAAGACAAGGAGGAAAATGTAGAAGGCTTTATAGAATAGTATGTACCTATAGAATCAAACACATTGTATTAATTGTTAAGACACAATATAAACAATTAGTATTTAAATAACAATATAATTTTTAATACAATTTTTATATTTTTATAAATCAAGGAAATATACGTATCATTGTGTACCTACTGATTGAAGTATTCCTCAAAGCAATAAGAATAGGTTTTCAGTTCTAAAAATAAATACCTCTAAAATTCCAATATTGATCAATCATATATATTATTATTTTTAATTGTCATCGATGAGACGATAACAGAAACATTGAGACGTCACAAACATGTTTTGTCCGTCTAAACTACACTGTTTTTTATGTTTGATTATTATTAAACAAATATAATATATTATATAAATGTACAGTTCATATATTTTATACTTATGATTTTTCCGTTCATTAGATGGGGCCCGCAATAGTCATACACACAAGGGGGCCTTACTGGCTATGGCTAGTCGGTTATATTGGCCAGTCCGACCCTGAATGTAGTACAAGTAGTTATATGTAGTTCCATGTAAATAGGTATATAAATTGCTTTATTTACAATAATATCATCAAATATACTTAGTGATATCATATCCATAAGCTGATTGACCGTCTTCGCGCAGAATTGTTTTTCGTATACAATGATTATAGTATATCATTGAATTCAAATCAAACACCATCCATTAAAGGGATAGACTGGCCACTTGTATACAAGTTAAAAAGTTAAAGTCAATTTTGTTTTAACTTTTTAACTTAACTAGTTACTTTTGGCTTTTTATTAACTTAACTGTTAACTTACTAAATTTCTTTTTTAATTAAAGTGAAATTAACGAATTCATTTTTCATTTTAGGAAGTAAGTTAAGTTAATTTATTTTGTTTTTAATTTTATTATATTTCAATATTTCAGTCTATTTCGTTTTCATGTGAAAAAATATTTACCGTGAATTGTTTAAAATTAAAAAATTTATCATTCGAATTTAACTTACATGGAAATAGGTACTGTATGAAGTATAAACAATATATAGTCTATAATTTAGTTTTGGATTTGAAAAAATTAAGTACGCTAGAAAAGTTTACAAAAAGTGTGTGTTAACTTTTAACTTAACTGAGTTAATCCATAGTTAAATTAACTCTTAACTTTTTGTTATTGGTGCATATTAACTTAACGTAACTGAGTTAAAAAAAAAATCATCAACTTGCCCAGCGTTGCTTGAATAGCAGAGAGACACCCACCTGTCCATCTTCTTTTAAAGGTTTGTATAGTATAATAGTTAAAATATTGTACGTTAATAATGTGCAGTTTATGGTATTAAAGAAATTTCATCATTTTATTGACCACTGACCAGCTTAATTATTTCTTACCAAAAAGTTGGTCTGGTAACATACATAAATAAATAATAATGTAATTTTCAATATTTATGAAATGTTTATTTATTCTTTGATAAAAAACAATAGAACAATTTAAAGTAAAATATATTATTATTATATTTTATTCAATTTTGTACATAATATAAATAGGATTTGAAAATAATCTAGTTTTTCTGACAAAAATACAAAATTAATTTTATTTCAGAAACAATATCCGTTATTGAATAATTTAACAATTAACATATAATATTTAACTTGATTTTTAGTCCATCATAGTTTAGATCAAATCTGATTAACATCATGATTACGTTTACAATTTCATTGGAAAGCAAATAACAATATTTATGTTGCATAAAAGAAAATGTTACAGTTTAAGTGCCTAGTACCTACGAGTATTATTACATTTTACTAAAACAAATTATTATCAAATACCACGCACTGAATATATCTTACACTTAGGTACCTACACATTATATAAACAATCAAATTAATTTGTATTTAAGTTTTAGTTTTAACTGTTCCGCTACTCGATTATACTTGTTTAGCTCTAGACCAGGATATAGAACATACATTCACTGTTAATTTACCATTTGATTTTCAAACTCGTGATGACGTGTTTAATCCTTATAAACTATTACACCGACTATATAGACTACGAGTATAATAATTATTATTAATGTATTTTTTCACTATGCATTTCCGCTTTAGATAGCACAGATCCATTACAGGTGTTAACTGTAGGTACCTATATCATTCTCATACGAGTGAAATCTTCTTCAACTAGGGAGGGATTCGTGTACATATACAACAGGTAAACCACATAAATAGCTAGTACCTACAAGCAGTTTACAATAACAGTCATTGTCATTCTGTGTTCCACGAACCAAAATAATAAATAAAAATAGTGCAACGCTGACTCCAAGAGATCACAATGGCTATTAATGTGAGTAAAAGTTAATTAAATATATATATATATAACTAATAAACTGATAAATTAGATATCAAACCTCGGTTTTATTTTAAATAAAACTGTCAGTAATAAAAAATTATTACAGCCAGTTGAAAGTTAAATTTGTGTTTTTAAATTTCAGCTTTACGTCATGTTTGCCGTGGCCATGACTTTATCAAGTCTCGCAGCGTCATTTCCGTCTTTGAACGATTTCGACGAACACGACGAACATCAAGATCATTCGCAAGTGTCAAATTCTTATCACTTCAAGTACGCCGTTCACGACCCGGTGACCGGTGACAAGAAAAGCCACAACGAAGTTAGTGACGGACATGGCACGGTCAAGGGGACGTACAGTCTAGTCGAACCAGACGGTTCCATTCGTGTGGTGGAGTACACGGCTGATGACGTACACGGCTTCAGAGCTGAAGTCAAGAAAATACAACCTCAGCATAAACCCTCGTCTACAGATCACACATTCGACTTGGCAGAGCATAATGTGCCATATTTCCCAAACCCGACAAATGATTTAGAAGAACACTACGAACATGAAATGATTTCGTCAAACTGAGAATATTATTTTGTTTCAATATTATTATGATGACATGTCATAATAGTATGCAGCAAGCCTGGTTTTAGAGACTTGCGTCATTGTTTTGTGTATTATAATTATGTTATTGTATGAAAATATATTATTTTTGCCATTTTAATGAACACTATGTTTTTCATCTAATTCTAAAAAATATATTATTAATAATATTATTACGTAGGTAAACCTCATAATTTGTAACGTCCAAATAAGTGTTACATAAGCTTACATAACTTGATAGTTGATAACCAGCTGTGAATGATGATCCGTCCTTGAGAATCTGTGATATTTCCTATTCGAGCCCCAATTAGTCGTCAAGCATACATAAGACTCATGATATTGTTTGAGCTTGTTTGAAATGGAGCATTTTGAGCATTTTCTTTGAAAAATATGTAACAATTCATGGTACTTTTTAAAACAACATTATGTCTATATGCACGTCAATGATATGTCTAGGCATAGTTTACATATTTTATGTGACCATATAGTGTGAAAATTCATGAAATTAAAAAATGAATATATTTCGGAATATTCATGAAATATTTCAAATTTGGAAATATTTCAGTATTAATTTGTTTATTTTTAAATAAGTTTTATATTTACATATAATTGTCATAAATTACCTTCTCACTATATGTACTGTATGTATAACTAACTTGATTATACATTACATTGGTATTCAATTTTAATATTTATGTGAACTGATACAGGTTACAATGTCTTATGAATTGACCTAGACATGAAATGGTTAAAAAAAAATAAATTGGTTTTATAAAAAAATTTCAATGTTTAAACATAGTGAATATTAAATGTATTTCATTGAAATTTTTGAAATCCTATCAAACACTAGACACTACTGCATACGAGCAAGTGGGCATAGCACATCATTTTTATTTTAAATATTGAATACCAACAAATAAGCCATTGGCCCATTGATTTACAATAACAAGTTGTTTTTATTGATTTAGAAACAATATTTAATAAAACAACTCTACCAAGGATCTAGTACAATATCTGTAGTAAACAATTATTAATTTTTGAGAAATATTGAACTAAATACTAGTTTTATGTTATCAAATCAATATTCCTTTTAAATTTAAATTTCATATATAAATACTATAATTTTAAACTAATTGTAACACAATATTTCCAAGTAACCAATGTCAAAAATATTTATAATTTATAAATTTAATAGTAATTTGTTTTCTCAAGCACATAATATTTTAATGATCAACTAAATTCCAAAGTAATGAATAAAATTCAGAGTCGTCTTTTAAATTTAATAACCGCAAGGGTAAGATACTTACTGACTTTGTGGTCATCAACAATTTATTTTAAGTATCTATCTCAAGGCGATATATTCATTATTATTTTTATACTCATGAACATAAACTTTTTATTTATAAAAATATTATATGATAAATTTTAATATTCTGAATTAAGAACTCTGTTTATTGTTATATTGTATTTATGATTTTAATTTTAAAGTTGAAATATCCACTTTTAAAAATAATGCTTTAAAAATATGTTGATAACTAATTAATCTTAAATTGCATAAGAAAAAATTAAAAAAAAATTAAATTAATTATAATTAACTATAAGTTCCATATTTAAATAATAAAAGTAATGAGAAAACTAGGCCTAGCGAATTCATGCCATTAAAAATCTTAAAAAAATGAATTTATTTATTCCCTAAAATATCACTATATAAATATATCCTTAAAATATGCCTTAAAAACCGAAACACTTTGACTACTCTAAAAATCAGAAAAATATTTTTATTTTTAATATTACCTATTACTTAATTTATGCTTTAAAAAATATGAATAAATTTACGTATTAAAATTAAATTAATTTATAAAGTCCATGTAAATTTATATTTAATTTTTAGACTTCAGGTTTAATTTTAAGCTTGTTAAAAAAAAAACCAAAACAACATTTATTTATTTTTCTATAGTTTATTCAATAAATTCTAATTATTACCCAAATTAATAGTGTCATTAATTTTCAACTTCGTGTATTTATAATATTGATAAAACCATATCGGTGGTTCATAATTTCAACTATAAATGGTCCCGCACATTAAATTCAAATTTTAAAATAAATGTAAATATACAAAAAAAATATGTCTGTAGTCTACTGGTATTATGGAACAGATTTCTATATCACTAAGCTATGTTTTGAATGAATATTAGAAAACTTGCAAACTCCTTTAAATCTTTAGCCCTAGTGAAAACCAACTGGTACCAATTCAATGTTTTAACAATAATTTTGAAATGTAGTTCAAATAACAATTGATTAAGTTAGTGTTATTATTCTATGACTTATAATAACATAAAAGGAAAATTTGATAAAATAATAATAATAATAATAATAATAATATATAAACGATAGTTATTTAACAACATTAGTTTTTGTTTTTATTACAACTAGGTACTACCATTATAAATATCGTGGTAAATAATCAGTTAAAATAACAGATATTAATATACATACTAACTTTTTCTGTGTAATAATAATATCATCACAATCGATCCTACTTCAAAGTTACCTTCATAATGAATTCGTTTTCACTTTAAATGAAAAACTTGTACATATTAAATGTATTTTATGAGCTATTTAAATATTACGTTGTACATCTATTATAAGTTGTTTACCAGTTTAATAATGCAGAGAATCCGAATGTATTAGTAATTTAATCATTTCCAATTACAATGAATTAGATAAATAATAAGAATAATCTATACCTTCCGATTAAATACAAATCATTTAATAAATTATGTCTAATGATTTGCATTAATATACTTTCCAATTGATAGAGCATCACCATTGAGGATAATAATGTATTATGATATCCTATATTTGAACAGTTATTTAAAAATAGTATTCTTCTTTTATAAAAGAAAAATAACTTTCATTTAAACTTCATTGAAAACCTGTTGGGTTTTATTTCATTTATGTTAAAACCTAGCATATATTATTAAGGCTATAATAATAATAATAGGTGTATGGTGTATAGTGTAATAATAGGATTTTATTTATTTAAATATATTTAATAACATGACAATTTCATTAACAATATACCTACCATAATGAGTGTAGTAGGTACTTCGATTGTACAAAAAAAAGTGGTCCAAAAATTAGGCTATTCTGTTATATGAACTAAATAGGTAATTCAATTATGTAAGAGCTGGAATCTATCACAGTAATATAATATGTTATCGAGTTACTTGTACGTCTTTGTCATCGTATATTTAATACTAAGTCGTTAGAAATGTAAATTTTCAAATATTTTTCATTTGAATTAAACGCTCTAAATATTCCTTAAATAAAAATACAACAATTTTTTATTAGTGAATTCACGGACTAACGTTGTATTTTAAATTACAGCATACGAAATAACACATATTATGTGTAACATAAATAGGAAGATGAGTATCTGTTGTTTTTTTTTTTAATTAGCTGATGTAACTGGTCCAATCTTAGTCCATCTTAGGTAATTTAACTATAGGTAAATAATAATATTACCTACCTAATACCTATGGTAGGGGCTTACAAAAAGTAGGTATAAATACCTCAAACAAATTTCATATATTCATCAGTCCTCTTTTCATTACTTATGAAAACACATGCTCCATAGCATACTACATTAAAGTCTATATTCATTATTCACCAACATTTTTAAAATGGCTGCTAAGGTAAGATTTTTTGATTTAATAAAAAACTATTTTTATTTTTTATAAAAATACCATAAGCATTTTGATTTTAGACAATCGTTTTAAATTACATGTAGACATAATATAATTGTATAAATTAAAGGTAAATGTACTGTATACTAGATATGTAATATAACTGGAAAATAATCACTATCGTCTATCCGCGTCAACAGTAAATTTTACAATTCACAAAGTATATACTATTTATTATTTTAGTTTAGTATACAAGGTACTAAACAATCCACGCTTTCCTCCATATAATAATATCATCAGAATGTTGTGCACATATTCTTATGATTTGAACATTCAATAATAATTATAAAATTAACTTTTTAACGAAATCTGTTACCACCATAAATGGTCCGTGTTCTGTTACACGAGGACTAAGTGCTTAAGATTTCCCCCAAAAATAATAGTATGATTATCGGTTTCCTCGGACCAAATCACCGTCTACCGTGCAGTATACGGAACGTCTGGAACGATTGCAATGCGAAATCTAAAAAATTTTATTTGCAGTTGATTGTGTTCGCTGCTCTGTTCGGGCAACTGGCACTCGCCTACCCACCATCGGTCATCGAGCACAACGGTTTCGAGACGAACCACTACGACGACGGCCACTACGCCCAAGCACCCACACCGTACCACTTCGAGTACGCCGTCAACGACCCGCACACCCACGACATCAAGAGCCATCACGAGTCCAACGACGGACACGGAAACGTCAAAGGCTCGTACAGCCTCCTGGAAGCTGACGGTTCCACCAGGGTGGTCACCTACACCGCCGACCACGAACACGGTTTTAACGCTGAGGTGAAGAAAATCGAAGCTCCCTCTCACCATCATTACGAAGCACCTCTCGCCACCAGCTACCACGAGCCAATCCATCATTCGTACAAACCGTACCAATACTGATGATGCCACCGGCTGTTGCACATCGTCATCTCGTCATCATCCAGACATCATCGTTTCGTGTATAATACTTCCATCATAATCTTTTGTAATATATATTATGTTTTTTTTTTAATAAACCGTCGTCCAGCACTATTTTATAATATCATGGAATATACCTACCACCATCACTCCAACGCCACCAGTTACCACGAGCCAATCTATAACACGTAACCGTCTTCACACTTTCACACATACTGATGAATGGGACGCTCCGACCGATTGTAAATTCCACCAAACGTATCTTTTTTTTTTAAGTGTGTAGGTATACATTTCACTGGTAGGTTTTTCTTCAATATTAACTACCTATTGGACTTCTATTGTAGGTATAATTTTGTTTGAAAAATGTGTTTGTACATATTGTTTTACAGATTATAATTATTGAGAAATTGCTTATACGAATAACATTCCATGAGTTTTACACTGAATATTGTTATTGTTAAATGCTTATATATGATATTATATTGAAATCTATTTTAATATTTTACAAAAACTTATAACTTTTTTTAAAAATATCTTTTAAAAAATATTTCCGTTATTCAGAAAGAACTGTCTTTAATACGACTAATTATTGTGAAAAACGTAAATACTGTTAGAGTTTGTCTCGTTTTATCTTATACCTACTTATTTCGATATTATAATCTTCTGTGATATATCTTAATCTACCATATTATATTGTGCAATACCATTATTGAACTGTATAATAATATTATTGACGATTATTGCATCAAACACGCTACATCGTGCTTTTATAGTATTTTACTCTAAACAACTGTAAGATGTTTAAGACAGAAATTTACGCTTTTACACAATCAATGACTTAATAGTATATACAATTGATTAGCATATTTTGAGTAATACATAGTAAGTGAGCTCGAATGTTTAAAATATACAAAATCCTCCGGAGTGGCTCATGATTATAATCATGTTTTCAACCAAAATATTGAATTCTGACCACAATTGTCAAACATGTTTAGGCACTACTTAATTGCACTAATGATCCGTTATAATATGTCGCTGTTTGCCACCCAATCAATCGAAAACATCATGGTCCTAATTTAAAAAATCCATATCTGACATTTATCTTATAAATATGATCAATTTCTTTCCTTTTTTTTAATTTTATGTCTTTGATAGAAACAACCGTTTTCGTGAAACTCTGTGGGGATTGTGTATAAAATATTAGGTAGGTACAGGTACATCGAAGGTATCGCTGTTATTATAATTTCTAATGTTTACTCTGTGAGTGCTGCTCGTTGATAATGAACTATAAAAACTGGTGTGCGTTTAAATAACATATGAACAATTACCGGAAGGACGAAAACTCGTTTATTGAATAAGAACTTTGCTCCTCAATACCACCATTGTTGGTTTTTATAATATTATATTATCACGACACAGTTTATTATTCGTTAAAATAAGTTGCACACTCCTATGCGTTGTACCTACCTACCTACTATTATTATTTATTATACAACTTTATAATAATATAATATCATGTCTGAATATTGTAACTCGTACAAAAGTTACTCTTTTGAAAGTAATAGAGGGATAGTTTTACTTTTCACACATCATAAACTTAATTTAAGAATGAATTATATGAATTACACACATAGGCGTGCGCAGAGTTTAAGTTCGGGGCGTGCCCGTGGACAATTTGAATTATACATTATACACACATAGACAGAGTATAGTATAGATATTATAGAAAAAAAATAGAGCAGAAACAAGTCAATATTAATCATTATTGGTTACTGGTTAGTATATAATATTTACAGATTCATATGTCTATTTTCTAAGGTGTTGAACTCATCGATGACAGAATCCAAGTTTATCCCACTTGTCAACTCTTGTTCGGTGAATAGTAACAGTACCGTAGAATGGGGTAACTTTGATTTCGTGAGGTAACTTTGATAATATGATATTTTTATTCACCATAGTACCACGACAATTTAATATTTTTTTCATAAACTGGGGTAACTTTGATAACACATTACGAAATGCTGGTATCAAAGTTGCCACAATTTTAAAAAGATTGAATAAAAATATCTCAGAAGATAACATCAGAAATTTAAAAATGTAAATGTTAAACAATTGAGGATAATTAGCTATAACTAAGATTTAATTTTTGGAATTTTATCGTTAATACTACAGAAGTTATCCATAAAATAAAAAGTAAAATTGTAATTAAACGGTACAAATTTATCAAAGTTACCCCATTTTACTGTAACGAATCTAATCGTTCCTGTTTCATCGTACTTCTAAGTTTTGATTTTACAATTGTCATTTTGGAAAAGACTCGTTCGCATGTACAACTTGTGACTGGGATAATAGTAAATAATTGTAAGGTTTTATAAAAACAACTGTAGGTAGAAATACTATTGTTAGTTTTCAGCCAATCAAGCCACAAATAAATGGACTCACTAGATGTACCATAAACAACAATCATTTCAGGTTTTATTTCCATGTGTAGCAGACTAGTAATAGCTTCAATTTAGCTTAAAGTTTCTTAATTGAATCTTGAATCCATTGCCGATAATAAATCATCAAGTAGTTCATAATAAACTGATATCTTCATTTCATCTAATTTATTGTTAAAAAAAATTGAGATTTAGATTTGTTATCAATTTGAGTCGATACTTTTTTACGAATAACGTCTGGAACAATTATTCCATGTTTTTTACATAAAGCAACTGCTTGTTCAAAAATATTTTCAAATTCTTTATTTTCATTTCTCATACTTTTAAAATTTAATGTTAAAGACCGTACATTATCAATTGCCAACAAAAGATTTAGTTTTGGTGATTGAAGTACTGAGCTAACTTTTAAAATAAGATTTAATATTGGATGCATCATAAACATGCCAAAAATGAACTCAAATCTTTTTAATGTATTGTCATGGATGAGGATGACTTGGTGATACCCCAGTTCTCCTGTACTGATAAGCATGTTTGAGACATAGGGCGCTTCGGCCCTTGAAAAATCTCGGGGCGTGCCTGGGCACGCCCGGCACGCCCTGTGCGCACGCCTATGATTACACAGGAACATGTTTAAAGCACCCAACATTACGTGTCTGACAGTCCAACACATCAGTATTATACGCAATTAACAATTGCACATACGATATATTATAAGATAGATACGGCTACATAAACTTAACGCGTTGAACATAAAACACCTAATCGAAATAACTTATGAGCATGATACGCGATGGTTTGAATGTATAGTATACTCGCATAATACCTAACTATTATTACGTGGAATAATGATAGTAAAAATGTTGTTTTAATAATAATATTGAATAGCTCGTTATTGGTGTTACCGTGATGGTATGGTAATTTTTTTAGGAAAGCGCTTTACCTCATATTAACCCGAGTACCTAAAACAAACTAGCTAGCTATTGTACTTCGATGTAATTTAAGTTAGATACCTAGCCAATTTGAAGTCCTTATTTTCCAAAACCATTCAGAACTAAATAATGTAGTTCTACTTAGTATTCATAGTTTAATAAAGTTGAAAATGACGAACAAAGGTTTCATATCTAGCTTTTAATGCATTACAAAGTTTATTAGCGGTCAGTCAGATATCGTATCCAATTTTTCACTGCACTTTATCCACTACAAACTATATTATATTGAATGAACCTACAGTAGGCGCTTATTGGACATTGCCAATGTTGACCCTTTATTCACCTTTAAAATTATATTGTATTAAAATTGCACAGTACCTACCATATCAATATTATCTATTATGTTATGGGTATGTTATAATGTTATATTGTACAATTGTGGGCTTACTTGTAAAGTTGTATTTTTATTGAAAGGGCAAAGCCCATTTAGGTAGTCATAAGTCATAACAAACAAATAAATATCTACTTAAAGAGCTCCGTTCAGTGGTTAAAAATAATCATAAAATCTATTATTAGGTATACTTCTCAGAACTAAATAAAAATGTTTGATTTCGATTATTTATTTTTAACTATAAAAGCATAATATTAAATTACAACACTGGTTTGCCCCGAGGTGAACGAAGCTTGACGAGTGCCCAATAACCAGTCTCTCTGTCCAGACTGTATAGCGTATAATATTATTTTTTCTTTTTAAATTCTACCTAACTACTTTAGTTTTTTGTGCATTAAATATATTATATTCCTTTATATTCCCATTATTCTATTATGATATTTTATTGTAAGGTCATTGTATAAAGTAACAACTCTTAATACACATAATGTTACGTATTAATTGAATATCGAATTTCTAATATCCACGTTACGAAACATAAATAATTATGTTGTTCCGTTATTAATTATTTATTAATACATTAGTTACCTATACTATTAATATTGATTATAATATTAATACATTATAATAAAATGATATTTAAGACAGTATTAATTGAATTTGTTCGTGAAGACAAATTATTGTACTTTGTATAAAACATTATATTTTCAATTTATATCCTTATCTATATATTGGCTAAATGTATTAGAACAAGATACAAAATTATATTTAATTGGAAAATAATTTGTGAAGATATAATACAAATAATATAGTCACTTGTATATTTAACTTTTACACTTGTTATTCTTTATTAGGATAATAATAATAATAAAAAGAAGAATAAGAATAAGCAGAACATACATTTTTTTAAACATAGCTAGGTGACAGAATTTTTTTAATTTTTAACTATTCACAATTGCATCATTGTATACTAACCAAAATATGGTATTATAATAAAAATAAATAATCATTTTAAGTGGCTTCAAATAGTAAAATAAACTAAAAGTGCCTACATTTAAAAAAAATTTGAAATGTTAACTTGTCAAAAGACAACTAGGTACTGTCTCATAGATAAGGTTTTAAAAAGAATAAATAAAACCTAATTAGATTTATTCTACAGAAGATGGCAACATTGACACTGAAATACATAGAATCGACTTATAAAAAAAGTAAAGTTTTTATGAA